AGCTAGCTATCTTTTATAGTAAATTAGGCTAAAAGACGTTTAAGAAAAGCTATCCTTAGAGGCCCGCCTTAAGAGTCTTCGAGAGGAGCTAATAGCACGTACGAGAAGGTAACGTCTATAGCCGAAGAAAAGGAAGAGGTTTTTCCCTTTAGAGGGCCCCCTATTTTAATTAGGTTTTCCCTTCTAAGAAGGCCCCCTTTCTTATAGGACTTTCCCCTCTTTAGGCCCCTATTCCTTAAGTAGGTCTAAAAGAGCCTAGGGACCTAAAAGGGCCCCTACTTTCCTCGAGTAAAGGGAGAAGTATCGAGCTAAGAACCTCCTATATACGCTTACTAGCCTAAAGCCGTATTAGCTATGCCCTTAAGGGGCAGGCTATAGCTAAGGGGGTGTGTCGCGAAGCGTGGCCTGATTTCGCAGTTCTCGGAGATATCCCTTAGCACGAGGGATTAAGGAAGCTAAAAACACCCGGTATAGAAGAAGGAAGAAGGAAGAAGGAGCTAAAAAGAGGTATAGAAAGGAGGGTAGGAGCATAAGGGGAAGTATAAGTAGCGAGAGATAAGACGGATATGCCGGCAACGGCTAAAAAGGGGGGGGGAAACCGGTAAAAAGCTCGGTAGTTAAAAGGACATTAGTAGCTTCTTTAAGCAGGATCTTCTTTGTTAATTAAGGTGCTAGATAGGTATAAAAAGGGGCGTTAGATAGAGGAAAGAAGGAGAATTAAGGCAATATAACAATTACTCCCCTACCTTTATTGCTGCTCCCGTAAGAATTAAATCTCTCTGCCTTGCCTATCCGACCCCTTACTTCTAATTTCACCTTCGTATATTTTATATGTACTTCTCGTATCTCTCTGCGCGAGAATTTTACCTCCTTTAAGCTTAACTAAAGAAATATACTTTAGTTAAATCTTTTTAAATCTAGCCGTTTTATTATATATAAATATATAATTTAGTATTAATAGTAATATAAATACCCTTATTTATATTTAAAGGTATATAATATTATAATTAATATATAAAACGCTAATAAAATTATTAAATAGATCTAGATACTTATAAGCAGCTTAATTAATAAGAAATCCTACTTCCCTTATATTATATATATATATTATTACTATTATACCTATACTCCCTCTTTTAGGAAGGACAGCGCAATCTATATACTCCTCCTTAATATAAAGACCTAATAACTAGTGATCAGCGCCGCAATCCGCAGTAGCGGCCCGCCAATATTGTTTTTGCGCCGGTGGAGGTAGGGAGTCGGACCGGAGATCGGAAGAATAATTATCTAAGTTAGTGACGCCTCGCTCGGGAAGCTCGTTAATCCCCCTTGAATCACCGCAACAATGTTAAGCTCGCTCATCGAGCGACTATCGACGCTGTTTATTAAACTGCGTCACCTCATCAATATTCGATGGGTTCTACTGCGTCAATCCTTATCATGCCTAACGACACATATTTCCAAATTTTGGGCGCCCGTCCAGAAATACCCGCTGACCCCAGAGCAACGCGACGAACGACGAACGAGCTTTATTACGTCCATCAACAAAGGGGCAGTTGGCGTTTTGGCGTCTCGATACATTAATCAAAAGGAGTGTCTTGTTTCCGATACTATACGCCATGGCAGCTATAATGTCTGCCTGTTTGTTGCATTTCCTATCGACAACACCCAATGGGTTGTGCGAATACCCGTCAGCCCACCCGTGGATGACGCCTGGGACAAGGTTCAAAGCGAAGTTGCGACGATGCGGTGGGTGGCTCGTGAAATCTGTCTACCAAAACTAACACATGTACAGACTTGTCCAACGCCATACAACGATTCCCCTTCCTGCGATACATGCTTACGGGCGAGGCGAGCAACGGCCAGCCACTTCAACTCCATCAACTCTGCTCATCTCCAATAGAAAAACGAAATCGTTTCTACACCGAGCTTGGCAATATTTTGGGACAATTACACAAACTACAATTTCCCGGAACTGGGTCGCTTTACCCAGATCCCGAAGACCTTGGGGATATTGGACCTTTGCTGTCTTTAGCTGAGAATGACCTAAAATTTAATACTGGAGAGCTTCGAAGACTTCTGCCGGCTTTCAGCTCAACGGCCGCTGCCGTCGAACATCAATACGGCGTATTGACTGATTGCTTTGCTATACCCGCTGCAGATTCATCTGAAGACACCATCAAGCGGGAAATTTTCGCACTTCACAGTTTAAAGGATCTATTTTCGAAGTGGCGCAGCTCGTCTTTGAGTGGCCAGTCATTCTCGCTTAGCCATGGGGACCTTGGATGCGATACCTTGTCAACGATGATCTCCAAATCCAGGGCATACTTGACTGGGAATGGGCAAGTATTCTCCCACGACAACTCTGTACGCCACCTCTCTGGATTTGTGGCTATGAACCCGGAATGGTCGACTCGGCGACGAAAATAGTTCATGATTTTCGTAACGCTATTATGGCCGATAACCTATGCTTCGAGCATCTGAACCAGTGAAATGAGGACCACGCGAATATTTGCACATGTCTCGTAAAGGCTTGCCTCTCGCTCTTGCAGAGTGACCGTTTCTCCGATGCCTTTTCGTCTTGTCGAACTCGAAGCAGCGCGCGATAATTGGGTTTTGACCTTCTCGCTCATCTGGAAAGTCATGTCCAGCATCCCTTGCGCTTCTTGTTCTTTCTCTTGCCAGTATGCAATATGCTGATGTAGCTCATTTATTCTGTGTTCGATCGCTTCGATTTCCAAACCGGTTGTGGACATCTTCGACAAATGATACCGGATACGGCGGGTTGATTTCAGATCCAAGATCTGGATAGAATGAGAATTAGAGAGCGAAAGGGTCGAAAACGTGAGTGTAAAAGGCGCGTGCAGGGCGGTCGTTCTCGTCCCTGACTTCTGCGTTGATCGGGCTTCGTCTGCCCTTTGGTACTTCACGCTTGTACCTGTGGGGGAAAGGAAAGGGGGTGGATAAAATACAGTGCCGGTCTCCTAGGCCGTTAATAGTGAGTATGTGGTTAAGCTGACCACCACCCTCGTTGCTCGTCCTCTACGAGCGTTTCGAGTTTTCCTAATGCAAGCTTTTCGGCAATACCAAGCTACTCTCGCAATATTATGTCTATTTTGCTACGCAACCTTTCTTCCTGAATCAGACTTTCGACAGCGCAATTGGTCCATTGAGACACGATGCCCAGGACATCGTGAATGTGTGCTCAGCAATGTTGGCCCAGCGCCGGGATTGTTCACGGAAAATCTCAGCCAGAAGTGCAGAGTTATAGTTCCCCGGCAGTTCCTTCCCTCTGGTGTGGAAGTATGCCTATTTGTAGGGTGTTTGAAACGGGACCTACTCGTTGGTGACGAGGCAGATCGGACGAACCTGCTTCTTAGGGTTTTAGAGTTAATTTAAGATTGATGTTGTCCAGGTTCTTGGTGACAAGCGCAGCCTTGGCTTCGGCACCCTGATTGATCAGGTCCGGTTTGGTGATTATCCCGACCGTTCGCTGGCCTTGGGGGTCGTGTTTCCTTGCCAGTTTGATGATTGTTTGATTTGCCATAGCATTGCTCGCTCAAGACCCCAAGACTGCGAGAATTATCGTTCGAGAACCCTGAAGATACGTCGTCACCATGTCGTAGACAGCGTTAACATCCTCTTCAGATTGCTCTTCACTAAGGGGGGAGGTCCGTGATTGTGGGGGCCGCAAAACCAAGCAAGGCAGACGTATGCAAGTCGGGCGCTTATATGCGGGACTCCCAATTCTTCCGACAATCTCTGCCCAATAGACCTTTTGCACGTCGTTCACGTTCGACACGTCACACGTCCATCTTCTCAAAGCGCTTCTCAAGGCCCACTTTGCCATGTATCCGAAGATGCATCAGTTAACCAATTAGGCAACGGCATGCAGGACTATTGTGAGCTATAAAGCCTGCTTGGCATGGCAGTCTATGAACGGGCAGGTCGAACTTGTCCGCCCAGCCTTGAGTTGAGCTATGAGATTGAGTTCAGGTCGTTTTGCATCCCGATTTATCAAGAATTCTTGCCGCAGAGCCTCCACAGTACGCGCCTCGTCTGTTCCGTCTACCTCGTCTGCTTCGTCTGCCCTGTCTGCCGCCGATTGTTGTCATGGCCTATTACGATAACGTCACTAGCAAAATCCGCTTTGATAAGTATGCGTCGCGTCAAGGGCCGGATAGTTTCGATTCTCTTTACAAGTCGAATGACTTTAAGGGTGGTGTCGGTCGCTGGGGTACTGCGCACTTATTTGCGAGCCGAGTCATCTGCACTAAACCCCAGAGGCACCTCGCCCTCTTGGCCGACTTCTTCCCAGACTCTACAAGGGGAGTCCATGCCTACATCGACCGTCTGGTTCACGGGCCAACTGTCAGCCTCAGAGAAATGTATGAGCCCCAGATTGTTCAGCAGCATCAGCCAGACGGTCTCGGCTATATCTGGGCCGCGCTCGCCCGGCTTCTGCAAGCAGAAAAACAGGTTATTACTACGACACCGGATAGATCTACACGAGAAAGACGGCCGGCGACACAGCGTGAAGGCCATGTCTCATCTACGACCATGCAGGTTGGCAGCAGCTCGCCAACCAGACCAGCGTTAGAGTCGTCCTCGGGCTCATCTGTGGCGAACCTCAATTGGGTAAATAAGTTATCGTCGTCTCCCCTCGAGGTCCTCACTGTGCGTCTAGCCAACGGGGTGCAAGGTTGGAGGGTTGCTGCTGACATAACGTTAGTGCGCTAGGCCAGCCCGGTTTACTACTCCCAATGTCTACAGGCCACGATGGAGCAGCACCACCTCCTTGGCTGCCCGTCACCTTCGCAGGACTGGTGCTCCGAGGCACGGCAACGTATGTGTCTATTCTCTGCCGACTTGCTCTCTCGGCCTCTCCTTTATTTTCTACCTTTTGTCCCTTCCAATGTGCCTCGCCACCCTGGCGGCGGCCGTTCCCCTCGACGGCCGCTTCCGCTGCCGGAGCCAAGAGCCTCGTCCTCACTGTCTCGTCACGTCCGTTGCTCTTTGGAAGCGCCGTTCGACGAGGCCGGCGGGCGTGAGTTGCTGCCTTCGAAATACTGCTTCACCACATCCGGGACCGCCAAGGCCCTGATATCGCAGCATCCCCACTCGCACTTTGCCTCGCACTGCGGCACACGCCAGCCCTCGATGCCCTGCTCGGCGGCCTTGCGACGGCGGTGTCGCGCCAGCATGCCGTACCGCTCCCAGGTGCGCAGGTTGACGGCGCCGAGCGCGGCAAAGTGCTGGTCCCATTCGTCGGCCCACTCGGGCTCGTGCAGCGTGTTGGCCATGAGCAGCTTGAGGTCGTCGTCGGCGTGCACCTTCCAGCTCCATGCCCGGCGCGTCAGCCTGATTGTGCTTCCTATGATGCGATACTCGGTGTCTGGGAACACGTCGCGCTCGGCGAGGTACGAGGATAGTTCGGATGGCGAGACGTCGTAGCACCTGGCGAGCTTTTCCGTCGCACCCGGGCTGGCACGCCGGGGCATCGGTCCCTGTTTCTCCTGCTGCCGGGCTTGGTCCGACGCTCTGGCGGCGCGATAGTGCGCGAGGGTGCGCTCGTTGTAAGGCGCGCAGTTCCATCTTTCCTCGAGATGGCTTGGGGAAACGTGGCCTATTATGGCAGCCCTGAACCCGCTCCCCTGGGACGAGTCGTCAATAAATCCGACGTGGAGCCCTGGCCACTCCCACTTGATAAGCCTATGCGCTCGGTCAGCCTCGAAGAGAGAGGCAAACTCCAGGACCACGGCATCCAAGCGGTCCGTCAGAACTTCCGATACGGCATAGGTTCTAAGAAGAGTGAGTAGGTCCCAAACAGCGTCGACGGGAAACCCGCCAAGGGCAATGGCTCGGGTGACGCCACTGGTTAAGAAGCCATGATCCCGTGCCGTGTAGCCGAACGACGCCGTCTGAACCAGCCATACGTAGGCCTCGTAGATAGAGCCGTCCTCGGCAGCGAACGCCAGAGCGTTTCGCTCGCAATGGTCGGCAAAGCGCTCGGCCGAGACGGCATAGACAAACTCGACCACGGCCGACTTTGTGACGCCCCCGGATCCGCAATCGGGCACGACGGTCGCGGCCATGACGCCCCCATAGCAGCTGATGGCACGGAGGACCTGGGTGACTCCGATACTAGGCGGCAGGTTATCCAAGACGACACGCCTGCTGCCAGCATATGGCGTCAATGGACCCATAGAGATCCTTGGCGACTGCAGGGACGCAACATCGGGGTGGTAATCGGGGACGTAGGGCTGGAGATGAGATCTGCCGTCAGACTTGGCAGGAAGCGCGTCGACAAAGGGATCCTCGCTGGATAACGGGATCACGCATGAGCCGCTCCAGCGCGGATTGCTATAGCCTGAAAGACGGCTCCAGCGTGAGGAGCGCGATCCGAAAGGCGCAGGATCCGAAGCAATGGCGCTCCCCGGTTCCTCACTCTGCTGCTCCCCACTCGCGTCCACCCCCTCGGCCCTCTTTGGCACCTCGACGTCCTTGACGAACCGATCGGCGAAATCCAGGGCGGATTCGACCGACCATGAGAGGGCGGTGGCCATGCCCCGAAGCGTCGACACCGCAACAATACCCGGGTGCTGCGGCATATGGGACGATAGGTCGGCTGCGCTGTGCTATAAGAATCACAGAGGCGCAGCATGGCTTGGTCAGAAACGTCCCATCATCTTCCATGGAGGACACTCAAAGGCGAGGACATTTTTGCGTACAGTGGCGGATACCAGCAGCTGAACATGTGCCTTCTGGCAGATCAAGAGTTCCTTGACATGGCGAGCTTGTGAGAAGAGCTCGGACGCGAGCTCTTGTGGCGGCGCGTCTTCTGAGCTGTCACGGACTCCCTTTCTGCCCGAGCCGGGGTGAGGTTCCTGGGGATTCAGATCAAGCGGAGACGGTCGGGACATTATAAATCGTCTCACGGCGAGCGGCCTGTCGAGATGGAAATGATATCAAGATTTAGGTGCAAGGTTGAAGGTTATTTGGAGGGAAAAGAAGCCGCCGAGGTGGGCGATCCGGTTGTCTGTTGTGGCAGAAGAGAGATGCAACTCGCGCGTGCGAGCGTCAAGAGACAAGGAAAGGGAAGATGGTGCAGGAAAGAAATCGCGGGCTTGTTGGCGATGGAAGAGATGCGCAGTCTGGACGAGCAAACGCTGAGAATGAGGCAGAGAGGCGATGCATTGGGCAGAAGGCGGGAATAGAAGGTGTTCCTTGAAGGGAGAGCTCGGTTGACGAGCTAGTGCAGACTGGAACGGCTGTGAACAAAACGGAGGAGGCCCAGGCAAAGAAGTTGGAAAGCTGGAGTTGAAGGTGCGTGTGTCAGAGCACGGCGAGAGAAGCCGAGGTGGGCTGATGAATGGTGGTTGGAGCAGCGTTGACAGCCGGGCCAGCATGCACGGGTCGACGGACAGGTTGAAGGGGCCTTGATTAGGTGATGAAGCGTATGGAATCCCAGACCTGCGTGGGGAAGAGCAAATGAGGTTGACAAACATCACTATCAACTGCTGAACAGCTTCCCCCATGCTGCTCACGCCAAGCGACTCGCTTACTGGCCGCTTCAGTCGTGCTTCATGTTTGCTTTCCAAAGAGGCCGCTGGTTGCACGATCTCGCGATGATGGAGGAAGCAATCAAGGCTGGTAACACAAAAGACAAGAAGCGGAGTCATGAGGCGAGGAGAGACGGCGTCGTTGGGATTCATCAAGACCCACCCACTCGCGGGTGCCTTTCTTCATGATTCGTGAGAGATTACTGAGCTCGGTTGCAAACCAGTTGAGTGGGCAACTATAATTACATTATTTGTTACTGGTTGTCGCGGTGGCGTCTGACAACTCAACGCTCCGAGATTCTTGACTACACGCTCGTCGCTATCGCGCGGGACATTGCACATCTACTTCTAGTACGTCCTGTTTAACTTCGATTCAACATTTACGGCTAGGGGTTTACTTGGCTCTCTTACTTTCTATTCGCCGCTTCACTTCATGCCATCGATGCCACGTGCATGCAGTCGGAGAGGAGAGGAGTGACAAAGAAGCACGCAATCGGTTGCCACCAGGAACCGGCAGCAACAGAGTTTATCGCAGGTCGCCTATAAGCATGCGTCCTGCAAGTGTGAGAGTGCAGACGTGCAAGCTGACCAAGTCTGGGGCTGCAGGGCCAAGCATGGCACGGCATCGGGATGGGCTGGCCTCGGACTGAGCGGTCCAGCCTCGGCGGCCACGGTTCCGGCCAATTCAAGCTGTCTTGCATAGAAAAGAGCTTGGCACGGAGCCTGCACGTTGCCAAGCCCATGATTGGGTTATCCTCCTCCAACCCTGTGACATGCCGAGCGTCGTTTGTAGCCTTGAAGCAGAGCATCGTGGGGTCGGGAACGACATACACCAGACATGGACAGGGTTCGTGGAACGGCGTGGATGGAGTCGGTCTTGTTTCCTTGCAGATGGGCAAAAGAAGCTTCTTTTCTGGATCGTGCGATGTCGGGTCGCTGGACGGCAGCCCCGTTATCTGCTGCCTGGGCGAGCCAGAGTCATTGGCCGACATGGTCGTGCAGGCGGGATGCGAGGGCACGCAGCCTTTTTCTTGCAACAGGGGGGCCGAGTTGATGGCTGCGCTCCTCACCGCCGTCTCGACGACCATGGCGGGGGTCTTGAGGAGGGAGGGGGCTAATGTGTGTGCGTGCCGGGACAAGGGGCTCGTCTCTACTTGTAAGTCAGGATCAATGAAACGAAACTCTCGTCATCCCCCGACCAGGCTCATTGACAGCCGCCTGGCGTGCGGCTGCTCCCTCGTCATCCCAAGCTTGCCGGGCTCGCTCGGCTCTTGTGGTTTCATCCTGTCTGGCCCCCGTCCACAGTCCACGATGCCGGATTCCCGAGCAATCGCCGGTCCGCCTCGCGCCGGACGGAGAGCATCAGACGCCCTTCAGGTGCGTGCGTGCATGCAAAAAGAAACAAGGTTTCCAAGACGCGTGCTTGACAGGCCGCCACGATTGCCCGGAAGGGACGGGATGAAGAGCATGCTCAACGACGAATGGGCAGCTGGAATTGAGAGAAATCTGCATGCAGAGTGCGAAGTAAACGCAAAAAGGAAGATACAAAGGAACGAAAAAGAAGCATCTCCGTTTCTCCACCCCGATCCCCTCCACAGCAGCCCACATTTGTCTCGAACCCATCAATGACGCCTCGCCTCTCGGCCCCAATCCTCATTCGTTCCTGGCTATTCCTCTCTTACACAAGGCAGGGGTGGCCCCCCCTATCCGTAGCATCTCGAGGGCCCGCGCTGCTGTCATGGGTTGTGAAAGAGTCGGTCCCCCGTGGGTTTCCAGGGTTGGGGGCCTGAGCGGCCGCTTCCGGATCCATCACTGACATTATTTCCTCTTGCTTGTTTCTTTCCATTCCTTCCCTTCCCTCTCTCACACACTCTCTCGCACTGCCCGGGTCCTGCCGCCATTCTTGATGCCTTCGACTCTGCCCCCTCCGCCCTTTCCCCCCTTTCCTGCTCCACACCTCGACCCCCGAGGACAGCCGCCGGGGAAGCCAAGACACACCAGGCAGGCCCAAGCCCGGGCTCGCTCCCGCTCTGATTGCGACGGACGCTTGTCCTGCTCCCGTCGCCGACGACGACTCGGCCGGAGGACGCCGTGAAATCCTCTCCGTCAACCCTTCTGGCCGTCGTTGGCCGAAAACAAAACAACAGAACCAACAACAACAATGGCAACAACAGCACAGACAAACATGCGGCACCGGACGTGGAACCTGGATATTGACCGCTTCCTCAACCCCCTCGTGCCGTCGCCGCCATGGCCTATCCTGCCGTACCCCGTGGCGCACTTCCTGGGCCACCGCAAGACGAAGCCGCAGGAGACGGGCAACCTCATGCCCATATTCTGGGCCTTTGTCGGCATCCTGTGCTCCATCCTCGTCATCGAGGCCGTCACAAGCCGCGTGCCGCTGTTTGAGGCGCGCGGCGTGCCCATGATTGTGGGCTCGTTTGTACGTGCAGTCCTTTCATCTTGTTTCCTTGCAGGCTGTGCCCTCGTGTTTGGTGGCTGAATGACCGCCAAGCCTCCATGCTTCTCCTCCCGCCATTGATAGGCTCTCGTTGCGTTTCTCATGTCTCAACCATTGCTAGTCCAGCATCAGGGTTGGACAAAGGGGGGGCACGAGGAACGGGTCCTTTCGATGTCGAGAGAGCCACAATCGCCAGTCTAACACGAGGCTTGACAGGGAGCCGCGGCCGTGCTCGAGTTCTACGCCATAGAGTCGCCCTTGGCGCAGCCGCGCAACGCCATTGCGGGCCAGCTCATTGCCACGGTGGCCGGCGTGGCCATTGCCAAGCTTTTCCAGCTCAGCAGCAGCTTCCAGGAGCTGCGCTGGGTGGGCGGCGCTCTGGCCTGCGCCTCGGCGACGGCGCTCATGGCCTTGACCAAGACGGTGCATCCGCCGGCGGGCGCCACGGCGCTGCTGGCCGTCGTCGACGTCAACCTCGTCGCCGTCGGCTGGCTGCTGGTGCCCGTCATGATGCTGGGCTGCGCGCTGATGCTGGCCATTGCGCTGGTCGTCAACAACCTCGAGCGCCGCTTCCCCATGTACTGGTGGACGCCCCTGGATCTGCGGCAGACGGAGCCGGCGTTTGTGAGGGGGGGGGAGGGGGGGGAGGGGGAGCAAGGGCCGCGGCGCCGGCGTCGGCCACACCGGCGCCGGCCGGATGACGAGGAGACGGGCAACGACGACGAGGAGAGGACCGTCGTGGGCGGCGGCTCGAGCCAGCAGACGGGCGAGAGCGACGGAGACGGCGGTAAAGAATCGGGACGCCGGCGGGACGCGGACGATAATGCCGGACGCGGCAAGGCCGAGGTGGTTATTCGGCGGGGGCAGGTCATCGTGCCGGAGCACATGTTTCTGACGCAGGAGGAGGTGCAGCTGCTCGAGTCCATGAGTTTCCGGTTATGATGATGGCGACGATGACGATGTCACGACTGCCAAAGACGAACACGGCCAAGACGACGGGGACGATGGATTCAACCATGGCCGACTGCTGTTCAAATCGGTTTCCTGTTCGCCACTGAGCCCGACTACAGATATTTCAACCATGACGGCGATAGCGAAAGAAGGAGAAGGTAAAGTTTGGACTTGTACATCTTGATAGACCCTGGCTACGTGTATATGCCCACGTCGAGCTGCACTTTAGTAATGACTGGAAGACCTGCAAACTGTACAGGACAAGGGGCCACGGCTCCCGTCCTGGCAATCTTCCAACATGGAACGAGCCGCATGACGCGAGCCAGTCAAGCAACTAGAGGACGGCAAGCCAACAGGACAAAATATGCCTTTCTGCCTGTCTTTTCACCCGGACCACTGCGGCCCTCTCAACCGGAGCCGGCTCTAGTAACCGGCCACGGAACGCAAAACAGCCACGTCTTGACCGGACTCATGTTCATCGAGCGATATTCCAAGTCACCTCGCTAGCCTTCCCCTCTTTCGTCTCTTCCCCCCGCCTCCAGGCCCGGCTGCATGGCTACTGAACCCTGTCAAGGCGATCGCCAAAGCCTGGTGCAAAAAGGCCCACGCTGTGAGTGGATGGGCGCGCGGCAGACGCGGCCAGTGAGTCACCGGCTCCTCTTTGCCTCTGACGTCGGTGCAACAGCTTCCGTGGTTGATGTGCCCAGCGGTCGAGCAAGCTGGGGCATTGAGTGTCCACTACCGATGCATGCATGGAGTATAGGGCTCCGATATCATACCGCGGCTGACAGACATCTACGGCGAATGACTGTCTCCCGCTTGCTCCTCGCATGGAGGCCAGGCATATCAAAAGGCTTCCGCCCGAGCCAAAGTCCCCCTCAACTACCCATTCCATTGCAACGGTTCATTCTTACATTGAATACTGCCGTCCAGCGACGCGGAATCAGCTCGAGCAATATCGTGGCGCGTCCTCCTCTTTCCATGGCGGCTACGGCGTCAGCGGCAGACCGGCGGCCCTGGTTCCTGCGTTCAACATACCCCGTCGACTTCCCAGCCCACGATGCACTGACCAAGTCGCGAGCCGATTTCGATGGTTTCCTGGCTGACCAACTCATCCGGCGTCGCCCCGATCACGCCTGCGCCGAAACGCCGACCCTCGGTGGCGACTCTGCCTCGATAGAGGCTAAGGTCCGCGATGACTTGGCCGTCATGGACCTGGACGGCGCGACCCAAGCCGGTGACGAGGCCGTCGGCAACATGGACACGGATCCCAAGACGTGGGGACCCTTCATGCAGGGCCTCGTGAACCACCACCGCCATCAGCCGGCCCCGCCCGGCCTTCCGGCTAACAAGATGCTGACGGAAAACGCCGACGTGGCGCTGCGGTCGAGCACCAACCCTCTGGTCGATCTCTTTGCCGAGCTCGAGGACGTCGTCTCCGGGCCTCGGCTGCGGCAACTGCTCGACGCCGCGTGGGCCGAAGACCCGTCGGCCACGCTCAAACTCATCTTCAACGCGCGCTCCATCCACCTGGGCAAGGGTTCACGGGGCAGCTTTTACCGCGCCGCCGGCTGGCTGGCCCAGAACCACCCGCTCACCCTCGTCGCCAACCTGGGCTGGCTGAGCCGTCCGGTCATTGAGAAGAAGGCGGGGACGGCGGCTGGCGAGGCCGACGAGGACGTGGTCCTGGTGGAGGGCCCGCGGTCCGATGAGGAAGACGGCTGGACGAGGCTCGATGTCAAGCACGGAGTCGCGCACGGCTACTGGAAGGATCTCCTCAACATCCTCGTTCTGGCCGTCAGGGGTAAGCTTGACGTCCTGGCCGACCCTCGCGACGTGCTCAACGCCGAGGACGAGATCATCTCGCGCGTCATGAGGAACCGCTGCGCGCGCCGCTCCGGCCGTGTCCCGCCCAGGCCCCCCGCCAACGGCTACCGGAGCCGGGGAAGACCGACCCGCACCGGCGCCGAAAACCCGGCCGACGAGGCGGTCCCGGCGGCGCACACGGAGGCCCGGAAAGACGGAAGCGCCGGTGAAGGCAAGACAGAGAAAGCGAAGCCCGACATCAAGCAGAGGCGGAACGAGGCGAGGAAGCGCCGCCACGCCACGGCCGTCGACGCCTTTTCCAACAACGTCGTCTACCGCGCACTACACCTCGCCGTGGCCCGGCTCTTTGCCCAGCAGCTCCGTGCCGACCTGCAGGCCCTTGGCGACGAGCACCCGGGCACCAGGCGGCGCGGCGTCTCGCTGTGCGGCAAGTGGGCGCCGTCGCAGGACCACTTCCACGACCGGCACACCTCTATCGCCAGCTCCATCGCCGAGCTGCTGCACCCGCGCGAGTCTTTGACCGCCCAAGACGCCGGCCTGGCCCCCGACGCCGGCCGCGAGACCTTCCTCCGGCACGCGCGGGAGCGGTACCGGCGAGACCTGTCGGCGCTGCGGGCGCACCTGGGCGTCGTGGAGCGCGACGTGACGGCCGGCACGTTTGACAGGATCCGGTACGAGCGCGTGCCGTCGCTGGCCATGAGCGCGCACTGCGGCGTCTTCATCGCCAAGGACGCCGAGCGCTTCGAGGCCTACGTCGAGCGCGTCGCCCGCGGCAAGGCCGGCATCTCGGGCGCCACGCTGCTGCCGTCGACGCTCGTCAGCCGCATGCGCCTGTGCTCGGGCGGCGAGCCGCGGCCGTCGTCGCGGCAGGCCCTCGTGCGGCGCCGCGTGTGCGAGCTCGAGGCCCGCGTCGCCGACGGCCAGTGGCGCACGCTGGTGCGGCGGATCCGCGACTCGGGCACGCTGGCGTCGAGCATCGCCGTCTGCGACGTCTCCGGCAGTATGGAGGGCCCCCGGTTCCCCGACGGCTCCTGTCCCATGGACTCGGCCCTCGGTCTGTCGCTGCTCGTCGCCGAGGTCACGGAACCGCCCTTTGGAGGCGCCTTCATCACCTTCAGCGCGAGTCCGACGGTGCAGAAGATTGATCTGACGCAGGGCCTCGGCGAGAAGCTGCGCGGCATGCAGGCCTCGGAATGGGGCCTCAACACGGACTTTGTCAAGGTCTTTGAGGAGCTGATCCTGCCCATGGCCGTGGAGAACAAGCTGCCGCCCGAGGACATGGTCAGGCGAGTCTTTGTCTTTAGCGACATGCACTTTGACGGTGCCCAGGAGACATGGAGCCTTGACGGCTCCCAAGACCGCCGGGATAAGCAGCCGGAGAAGTGGAGCTCGTCGTACGAGCGCATCAAGCGCAACTTTGCCGGCGCTGGCTACGACATGCCCGAGCTGGTGTTTTGGAACCTCGCGGGCGGACGCGCCGGCTCCGGGGCCGGGGAGGCCGGGGGAGATGCCACGGCGCCCAAGCCGATCGCGGCCACCGAGGAGGGCACAAGCCTCGTGAGCGGCTACTCGCAGGGGATGCTCAAGGTCTTTCTCGACAATGGCAGCTTCCAAGACCCAGAAGAGGAGGAGGAAGACCAGCCGGAGGAGAGTGACGACGAGATGGTTGTCGTCGGGCACGGAGAAGGAGAGACGGGTGCCGCGCAGACGAAGCGCAAGATCCGCAAGGATCCTCTGCGGACGGTGAAAAGGGCCATTGGGCACGAGGCATATGCCATGCTGCGGGTGATGGACTAGAGAGCACGGCTAGCCATGTCTCGTTATTGTGTGATGCTGTCGCTACTCCGCGGGAGTCATCACGTTGTTATATCAGGGTCCTCACAGCTCAATAACAAACTCGTCAGTTGCCGCTCAACAAGACTTGCCATTCAACTGTCGATGTGCTTGACGATGCCTTGACACGCTCAGCCGTCAGGGGTGTTGACATCCACCCGCCAAGCAAGCACACAACATGCAAACTCTCCGCTGCACGTCCGTGCCCGCAGATCTCAATAACGCATCGTTCTCCCAAGACGATCTCTTGGGGCTCGGAGGAGAGACTCCACGTGGCAAGCATCAAAGTTCATAAACCAGCTTTCTCGCAGCTCCTCCCGCCCTGCCGTCCCTCTACGACACAGGACTGGAACGCCGCTGTCTCAAACTCAACCTGGGACTACGTACCGGTGGCCATGACGTACTCTTCCCCTGCTCTGTCTCTGTCGATTCCCTTTTCTCACCGGTTGCAGATGGCCGGATCTGGCTGCAGGGGAGGCAGGGGACTGAAGCCAAGATCGAGCATCACTTGGCATTGGCGGCAAAGAATGGGGTGTCCCGCCTCCTCGTCTTGTTCCCGTACCCTGGGGCAGTGCGACCAGTGACGATGCTGGGCGAGCGAGCAAGGGAGCATGTGGATGGACGGACGGGGCAGACTGGCCTCTTCTCAGCTTCTCCCCTTCTATATTTCCCCGTTGCCAGCGAGCCACACGATGGTATGTAGAGGGCGTAGCCGCCCATGTGCACACCGCCAACCTTGCCTTACACGCGAGACAAACTCCAATCTTGAGCCGGGACGGGCGGGGTGCGCGTATGATGATGTGCATATGAAAGAGAGACACTAGGCCAAGCATTGGAAAGAGAAGGACTGAGGAAGCGACGTGAAGAGCATTTCGAAACATCATGTTACAATCTGACGTGGGGAGCAGACTGCCAATTAACTTGATATTAACGAGCACGCGAGATCTGTGAGAAGCAAGGACCACACAGCAAGCAGCGGCATCTCGCGTTTACCGAAATCAGACACCTCGCATCGTCTTCTCCGCTCACAGACACATCCAGCGTCAGCTCCGCTCTTCTCCACCCTATAAAAACTCCCTTGACAGTGCAGCGGTATCCTCGCCATGGAAAAAAGACGCCCAAATCCGGCCTCGTTACTGCCAATGCCTGGCCTCCTCCTCCAAAAGCCCCATCATATCCCAACCGAGCGAGACATGACAGCATTCCTCGCCCGCGTAGCTCGCCACGTCCTTGGATGCTCTGCGACGGTTCCAGAGTGACGATGCTCCGCTTCACGCCCAGACACCAGCGACGGGGGCGGGGGACTGGATCCAGGTGGGTGGAGGCAGGTTGACGAGTGAACAGTTTCGAGAAGGAAGGAGATGCCATGTCTGCCTTTGTGAGACATGCTCAATGGTAGGGGTGAGGCCATAGTAGGGGTTTTCCTGGATGATTCTGGGCTGGTCTTCGTGACTGGATAAAAGCCCGGGGTCCGTGATCGTGACCAGTCATGTCGGTCCTCTGCCTCGACGATAACTTGCGAAAGAGGAGGGCCAGAAGCTGGTGAGACACGGAGACCGTAAATTTGCTGCCCGTGGCCCCCTCGGGCCTGGGCCTTTCTGAAAGCCAACCTCTGCGCAGCCTCACCAACGCAGTTCGTCACCCGCGCTGCCAAGGGCCAAGGGAGCAGGTGCCTTGTTGGATCGTGGGGCTCTGGGATATGCATCAGATATTGCTGCCCGGTCCGCTCGCAGGCCCGAAACGCCGCCCCCTTGCTGGGCGTCCGTTCCTTTGGCGCCTCCCTTGACAGCGGCGCGACACATGCTGCGCTTTCGTCTCGCCACCGTTGCTTCAAACTTTACAGTCCCGCTTCGTCGGCCTCGGCCTCGTCCCCGTCTTCGGTGTCGTCGTCGCCAGTGGCCACGACGAGCTTATCCACCATGCCCATGAAGCGCGTCCGGTACTCGGCTGGGTGGGCCGTGATACTCATGGGCCCCTTGTTGGCCAGAAGGTTAAACACATTGATCAGGCCCGTCATGGCCTTGGCGCGCAGCTTCTTTTTGGCCCAAAAGAAGTCAAGGACAACGGCTCGATAGGTCCAGCGGCCGTCGGTGGAGTGGAACCCTCTGCGCCATGAGCCGCCGACGTTGTCGGCAAAGGGCGACACGACGCTGGAGCCCGGGTCCATTCGGGCGAAGCGCACGAGGAAGAGGGAGTAATCAACGGCGCTCGCGGCGGCGAGCAGCGCCGTGTCGGCGTCGAGGAGGGACAGCAGTTCAGCCCTGGCCTCAGCCGAGACCCGCACCTTGCCGGGGAACGTGTCGACTAGCCGGTCTTTGACGCTGTCGGGCGCCAGCCTGCCCTCGGCAATGTCTCGCTCGGGGAAGAAGTAGTCGTTAGGTTTAAGGTCGTATGTTTCCACGCTGGCATACTGCCAGCGCCCGTCGCCATCTTGGCCGTCGGGCAGGCCGCGATAGAGTAGGTTTTCCATGACGACGTGGTGCGTGGGCGCGGTGCCTAGCAATCCGCCCAGGGTGGCGCGTGGGGTATAAACCATGTCGACGATGCGGACGAGCAGGCTGTCCGGGCAGCGCCTCATGTGCGCCGTGTATACGTCGAAGAGGTCGTGGGCGAAGAACTGATGCTCGAAGCGGCGGGGGAGCGACTTGACGAGGTACATGTCGTTGGGCGTGGTGAAGAAGGTCGAGCCGCTGTATCCGAGGTCTCCGGCGGGCACGCGCTGCGTCGATGCATCGGGGGAGGAGGACAAGCGAAACGAGTCCCTGTACTCGTCGTCGTCGAGCTCCCAGATGTCGCGGCGCAGCTGGAGAAAGTCGGATGAGCGGTAGCGCGTCATGCTAAGCCTGAAGAGGCAGAAGAAGGAGACGAAGGCTTTGACGGCGCCGTCGAGGACGCCCTTGGTCTCGACATGCTGGTCCGGTGCCGTGACGGCGTCGGCGACGCTGGCGGAGATGCGGGACGTGCGACTCGTCATGACAAACGGCGCCGCTTCGGGTCCATGGGCGTGTGAGGGCGGATCGTCAGACTTTGCCTCCACGGGGCGCTGGTGAATGGGGACATTTCGCATCAGTCGAGGTTGAGCAAATCTGGATATTGAGGCAATTCAGGCATCAGCAGCGGAAGCAGCAGCAACGGCAGCGGCAGCAGCTTCCCAGCCCTCGCACGGTGTGACGTCATTGCGGCGCACGGATGCGGCCTGCACATCGACGGGCAGCCTCAATCGCCATGAGTCACGTCTAAAAGAGACGGGTTCGGCAACCAAGTAGGGCATATTTCTTGCAGTTTGAGCGGCTACGTACAGAGGCCAACTTGTAATTAGTGTCTGGTTGATGTGGTAGCGACTGTTATGTTAATAGTGTATGTCGCGGATATAGCCAACTCGGGTAAGTTAGTGGGTGGTGTCATGTCTGCTTGTCACAGCGCTGCGTGCGTACAGTGCGGCCTTGATGCCGACACAGTAACCATTGTTCAACCTCGTCCGTCTTCACCCAAGCCTCGCCCACGCCAGCCAGCCTCCGTATCCCAGCATCCCCATCATCACCAGCTCGCCCAGCATGGTAACGAGGTTCTTGTGCGCCCGCTTGGTCGACTGTTGGAGGTTCCGCCGCGAGTTGACGGCAAACGTCTCGCGGTCGTTGATGCGCGGAAAAGGCGCTTCGACCGGCTTGCCCGTCGCCTCGTCCTCGACCATGGGCACCGGCACCCCGAGGTGCTCGCACAGCGGCTTCCACCCGTCTTGCACACGGAACTCGAGGCACCTCTCGGCGGGGATGCGGTCGCGGAACTCCTGGTACTGCCCCTTGAACCACGCAATGGCCTTGTCCTTTTCCTCGACGTGGTCAAAGGGCATGCCAAGCTTTACCATGACGTTTGTGAAGCGCACCCAGCTGCGGATTTGCCCGTCCAGGGCGTAGCAGTACAGCCGCGCCGCCCGCTCCCTCAGCGATTGCGGGCGCAGGACCTTGTGGATGCTCTGCAGCGCGCTCTCGTACCACAGCTCCGGGTCGCGGTTGAGGATGACGACCTTGGCATCCGGGTATAGCTCGGCCAGCTCGGCACTGAAGACGGCCGACGGCATGTCGCAGCACGCCTGGCAGTGCCCGAGCAAATGGTCCCAGTCGGCCTTGCCAAAGCTCCCCTTGCCTGCGTACTTGGCCTCGTAGGCCCGGATCCACTGCTCCGGGTGGCTGTCGAGATTCTGCAGCACCGTGTGCATATGGTAGCAGTCGTGGAAGCCCAGCTGCCATAGCGCCGACCGCATGCTCATGGTTCCCGTGCGGTGGACACCGCAGACGATGACTCGCATCGGCACCACGCGGTCCGGGACGCCAACGGCGGTTTGCTGAGCCATGATTTCGATGGTTACAATGATCAAATCGTCTGTGTCCTCGTCTCCGTTTTCGTCTTGGGGGCTATCGTAGTCGCTATCCGCAGTCTTAGTCGGCAAGCAACTCAGAGACAGGCACAGTCGGTACGAGAGGAAGAAGAGATGAACAACAGAATCTCACAAACACGACGGGAGGGGACGGATGGATATAAACAGGCGAGAATCCTTGTTCGGCGGCCGAGCCCGAGGCGACCAGGCGGGGGTGCCGGACAGGAAGACAAAAAAGGAAAAACAACATGGTGGCTACCGTGAGCAGGAAACAAGTCTCGTGCTCGGAGTCATCCTTTTGCCGCCCAGCAGCGTCTGCTACGGCTCGTCGGAGGTCGGCGCACAAGGCAGCCCGAGGGTCCGGGGCTACGATCGAGGTCAACGGCAACGGCCACGAGCCGCTGCCGCCAAGGAGGGGATGCGGGCAAGCTGATTGGAGGCATCCGACGACCTTGCTGTGCGATGCGGGCGAATGCTCGGCTTACGGGCGGCAACGGCGGCGCTGACGCCCTACATGATGCCGATTCTTGAGCCATGGCCTGTATGTAAGCATTTAGTTACAACGTCAGCGATTGTCACAACATGGAAGACGGCCATGGAGGGACCGGCGACGGCCTCGCGAGTTTGCCAAGTGCGGTCGCCGTCGGAAGGCCGACAAGAATCGCCGGGACCCCCTTGCTCTCCTTTGCGCACACGGTTCACACCGTCAATGGCCATCAATGATGGTGGCCACGTTTGCGCCTCGATGGCCTGCCTTTTGCTGCGCGTCCGACGGCCTGGGAGTCAGAGAAAAGAGGGCAAGCGGGCGCACGGCAGTGAGAGGCGTGAGATCAAAAGCATCTGCATTGGTGGACGTAATAAAAATAACCAGAGCTTAGAATAGGCGCTGACACGCTGGCTGAACCGGCCTAGAAGGGCTCCAAAACGCATGTACAGGCCAAGTGTGGATGATGGAGGAGAGAGAGAGTCGACTCTTTGCCTCGACATGCTGCAGCATAGTTGAGTTGCCACACTCTGCTGTCTTGTGAGATGCTTGTACCTCAAGGTATAATACATGCCTCGTTGATCGCCACCAAGGGAAACTCCCGCACGTTGAAACTCGATCCCGTCCAAGACAAAGCTTAACATTCGAGGGACGCAGTGTTTGGTATGCACCGGTTGTTTCAGGCTCGACTTTGGCACTTAGCACGGGGTCTGCCGCACACAGCCGATACCAAATTGTACGCGTACGATACAATCTTTAACCAAATTTTCTGGGGCTCGAACTCTATTCTGACGCGTCCCTCGTGCGGTTACAGTTGCATGCACCTGGACCGATGGCAGGCGAGGCAGCATTGGTGATTGCTGGATTCTGCAAATCGCAAGTCCGGACAGTGCCGATCAAGCACACGCTCGACGTTCGTCCGATGGGCGGCGGCCGTCTGCCATGGCTCAATGCAAGGCTGTGCTCAATGGCTGACTCGCAGGCTCATCTGCCGCGTCGTCTCATGGCAAGTCGGTCGTCACAGCGGGACATTGATTCGTCGAGGCGGGTGTTGGCCAGAGCGGGTCACCGGGAGATGGCAGCTGAGAGCATTGGGTCAAGTAATTCTATCCATCCCTCTGGCCTGGAGTCAAGACGACGACGCTCATGCCGCGAATTACGGTCCAGTGGGATAACGTGTCGTGTTTGGTGGATGGCCGACATTGAGGGAAGGGCGGGAGGGAGCATCTGTTGAAGGCTGCTGCGGCACAGGAGTTTTTCATTTCGAAAAGATATATATAGACTGCCAATGCAGATAGATGTCTATGCAGAGTAGAGATTACCTCTGCTTCCGCTCCTTCTGCTCCTTCTGCTCCTTCTGCTCCTTCTGCTCGGCCAGGCTGTGACTCGCCGTCTTGGGTCCAATCAGAAAGACAGACGCCTCGTCAGGGTATCCGCAGGCAGAGACGGCTATGCCCAGCGAGTCAGGCGGCTGAGAGGGAGCTTCCCGGTCCATGGCTCGGTGAAACGCAGCCGTGCGTGCATATCTCCTCATACGTCGACGACGACGCCAGACAGGAGCTGCCTGATTGTCGTGTCGGGTTCGGGGCGCCTTTTTGGCTCCACGGCCTTCAGGTGGCGAGCGGGCGTCAGGTCGACGCTACAGACGCTACAGTAATTACAACTGATGCACTACCTAATAAGTACTACCTAGGTAGGTAGTAATGACTGGCCGTTGGCTGGGCAGTAGAAGCCATTGCTACTGTACAGTACGATGGTGCAGTGGACGAGATATTAGGTAGGTACTTACCTCGTCAACGGGCCTGCTGTATGTTGTATGGGCGGCTGAGCGACGACCATCAAACTCGCTATCATGGCCCCGACCGACATCGGCACCCGAGCGACAAGGTTTACCTGACGCCGTGTGTGCCCTTTGCGCGGTTACAGCCGTGCATGCCACGCTGGAGCACACAGTTTGCCTGCGCAGCAGATCCGACTTGACGTCAACGGGCGGTGCAAAACGTGCTCAGATCGAGGCAGGCCATCGACATAACTTACAGTAACTTACAGGACAAAGGATTCGTCGTTGTAGGCCGCTACTGCTGCAGGTCCGGAGACGTACGTACTGGTAGGGTGCACCGAGGGCACTACAGGGGCCGAGGCGCTGTAAGTTCTGGCCCATGGCCCGTACAGTTCGAGGGGCCCCACGCACTGCAACTCGCCTTCGTCACATGTCTCCGCTGGCCAACAAGGAAGGCGGCGATCCAGGTCATTAGTGCCGTGCTGTTAGAGGAGGGAAAATTTTCCCCTTTGCCAACTCTCCTGACCATCCATCATCTCACCGGGCACGCTATTCCTCGCATGATCAAGCGCACAACCTCGACTCGCGGCAGGGCGGAAAGTCCCGACCGCCCCCTTTTCGAGCCTCTTTGTCCGCTGCCTCGGCCTCGGAGCCCGGCAAGCACATGGCCGTGCAACCCGGCCCTCTCTGCCTCTTCTGCTTTTCGCCGTCGGGTCAAACGAGCCTAGAATCGTCGTGCGGCGCCATGGAGGCGTCGTACCGTATGCAAGCACCGAGGCTACGGTTCTCCCAGGCACACACACACGCACACGCACGCGTCACCCGCCGCAGAGAGACTGGGCGAGATGGATGGCTGGGTCCGCTGTCGACGTGCCGACCCACCGCACCGGAGCCCGCCGACCGCCACCCCCCAGCCAAAAGTTAACCCGACGCCCTCCCCTGCTGCGGTAACGATACGACACATCATGCGCCATCGTCAGGACGGACTCGACATCTGCCGGCAAGCAGATGCCACCATCCAACGCCCAACGCCCATGCTCTCCAATCCCGTAGGCCCGGCCATCCTCGTCCCATCTTGCTCACGGCCCAGGAAGAGTAGAGGCAGGAGAGAGGAGGCCCGCGGAGAAAAAAGGAAACCCGACGTCGCCAAGCATCCGGAAGCTTGCTTGGGAAGTGTGGTTCCCACAAAAAATCGACAGCATGGTGGGAACTCTGAGTCTACCGTACAGCATGGTGGGAACTCTGAGTCTTGGAGATGCCACCCAAAACCCACCGGGTCGCGACCGCTTCCGTACCCGCCTCGCATTCTTTCTTATCTCTTGACTCTCCCTCTTCATCTGACAATTTGCCTGCGCCTTGGTGGCCCGACGACCCATCTTTTCCTCCTCAACTTTACCAAGCATCTTGCTGGGCCCAGCGCCGGCCTCTAACACCGTGTCCCTCGCCACCTACACGCATGCGAGCAATGTGGAGTTCTATCATAATCCCCCCTTTTCTCTCTCCCTCGTCTCCCTCGTCTCGCCTCACCAAGCTCGACAGTCCGGCTCTGAGACCTGTCTCAGAGCGAATCCCCCCCAACCCAAGACCTCTTCACCCAGGCCATGGCCCGAGAGCCAACCAACGGCAGCGGCCAGGCTAGCGACGTGCCTTCGCCAAACCGCAAGCCCAAGAAGCGCGTGGGCTGGCACTCGAGCAGCAACAGCGGCGGCGAAGGAGGCGGGAGCGGAGCGAGCAATGTCGGCTCGGGCGACCACTCTCGCTCCCCGCTGGCCTCTCCCGGCCTACCCTCGGGCATCACGCCCCCCGGCGCCCTGGATGCCCGCGAGCTGAGCCTGGCCCTGACAAAGGTCCTCTCGGACGAGCGAGAGCACCAGCAACTGCAACGGCAGTGGCAGGAGCACCAGCACCAGCAACAGCAACAAGAGCAGCATTCGACGCCGCCGCCGCCGCAGTCGCTGCCCATTCTCACCATATCGGAGCCTCTCCCCGCCACCGCTCCCAAGACCCCGAGGCCGGCTTTGAGACGCAACACGAGCTATGACGCCCCGGAGGAACGCAAAATGGCCGACTGGGCAGAGCAACGAGCCACACAGCGCCAGCTCCGCTCCCTGACTGACGCACGCCAGCGTGCCGACCTCCTGGCCATGTCTGTGTCTGCCCCGGATTCACGGCGGGCATCGAATGACTTCGATGCTGCATTCCAGCCCCTGATTGGTGATCCAGATGGCCTCGACAGGGGCCCTGCGCATGACGCCGTTGCCGCTCCCGAGGGCAAACTTAGCCCGGACAGCGTCAAGCTTCGCACCCCCCACAGCCGCCGCCAGGTTCGGGCGCTGGAAAACGACCATGCCGCCGCAGAGACTCTTGTCCGGTCTCACACCGTTAGGGACAAGAGCAGAGACTTATTCCATCCCAAGCCTTCCCTCTCGGGCACGCAAACCCCCACCCTGCACCAGGCATACACTCAAGACTACGTCCCCCGCCCGTCCAAGTATCGTGGTGGCATCCTCTCCTCGCTGCTCAAGCTCTACAACGATGATAGGAGACCCAGCGGCGGCAGCAACAGCAGCGGGTACAATACGCCTTCCAACCCATCGACTCCTCTCATGTCGCCCCGCCCCTCTCCGCCGCCTTCGCGACCGGCTTCCACGATTGGGGGTTCCGGGAGGCGCCCCTCGACCGGCGGCCTGTTCAGCAGTCAGCGGGCTCTGAATTCGACAACGTCCCTCTCCGAGTTCATCAAGTCGTCGTCCATGTTTGCGGCCCCCGGCGGCGGCGAGCTTCACGACCAGTGGACCGAGAAGCTCAGGAAGGACAGGCCGAGCAAGCCCAAGAAGGACCAGATTCGAATCACGGTCCACATTGCCGGCATCATCTCCCGCCACCGCTACCTGCTCAAACTATGCCGCGCCCTCATGATGTACGGTGCCCCGACGCACCGCCTCGAAGAGTACATGACCATGTCATCGCGCGTCCTCGAGATCGAGGGCCAGTTCCTCTACATCCCCTCGTGCATGCTCGTCAGCTTCGACGACAGCACGACGCACACGACCGAGGTCAAGGTGGTCCGCGTGCCCCAGGGCATCGACCTCGGCAAGCTCCGGGACGTCCACAACGTCTACAAGGACGTGGTCCACGACAAGCTCGGCGTCGAGGAGGCGACGAGGCGCCTCGACGAAGTGATGCAGCGCAGACCAAAATTCCACACCTGGCTTCGCGTCCCCGTCTACGGCATCGCGTCGGCCTGCGTCGCGCCCTTTGCCTTTGAGGGCCGCCTCATCGACCTACCCATCGCCTTCATTCTCGGCTGCATCGTCGGCCTGCTCCAGCTCGTCTTCGCCCCCAGCAACGAGCTCTACGCCCACGTCTTCGAGGTGTCGGCCGCCGTCATCACCTCCTTCCTCGCCCGCGGCTTCGGGTCCATCCACCAGGGCCAGCTCTTTTGCTTCAGCGCCCTCGCCCAGAGCAGCATAGCGCTGATCCTCCCCGGTTACATGGTGCTGTGCAGCTCGCTTGAGCTCCAGAGCCACAACATTGTCGCCGGCAGCGTGCGCATGGTCCACGCCATGATATACACCCTGTTTCTGGGCTACGGCATCACCATCGGCGCCTCGCTGTACGGCATGATGGACAAGAACGCCGCGAGCGAGACGCATTGTCAGGACCCCCTGACGCGGGGGTGGTACTTTTTGTTTGTGCCTGGCTTCACGCTGTGTCTGTGCATCATCAACCAGGCCAAGTGGCGGCAGACACCCGTCATGACCATCATGGCCCTCGCCGGCTTCTGCGTCAACAGCTACTGCAGCAAGTACTTTGAGCAAAACACGCAAATCTCCAACATGCTCGGCGCCCTGACGGTGGGCATCCTCGCCAATCTTTACTCGAGACTGGGACGACATGTCGAGAATTTTTGGCTCGACGTGATGGAATGGTGGGAGTTCCGGATGCGACCCCGTTTCACCAAGAAGAAGCCGTCCCTGCGCGCCGACTCGTGGTCCATGCCCTCCCTGTCCGACCCCGAGTCGCGGCCGGGGTCCCCCGAGAAGCCGCAGCGCGCCCCCCGAAAGGTCGGCTACAGCCTCGCCGCCGCCGCCATGCTCCCGGCCATTTTTGTGCAGGTGCCTTCAGGTCTTGCGGCCGGCGGGTCGCTATTGGCTGGCGTGACGTCCGCGAACGCGCTCAATGGCAACACTTCGGCCGTGGCGGAATCGAGCGTGAGGACACTGGGCAGCCTAGACGGCACGGCATTCAACGTCCTGTTCAGCGTCATCCAGGTGGCCATTGGCATCAGCGTGGGGCTGTTCATGAGCGCCTTGATTGTGTATCCCCTCGGCAAGAGGAGAAGCGGTCTCTTCAGCTTCTAGCCTGACATCGGCATGCCGAACGAAACGACCTGATCAGCGACACGCAACGCGACGAAACGTTTTGGATCCAACATTGGACAGCAGAGCAGCTGGGCTGCCTTATTTTATACACGTCCACATTAATGTTTTTGTGTTTTTACCGCATTCATCTTGCCTACTACAAACAGATGCTCGGCCATTCATCTGACTAAACAGATATTATCACCGGCCCGGAGTCGAGGAGCATTCGTATCATGGAAAACTATCAAGCGATTGGCGCACGGAGCTTTTTTGGGTTTTTACGTCAAGAGGGGGAGGGGGGTTGTCACCGGCGAGCATTGATGTATTGGACATGCTGGGATTTGAGATGGGGTATGGCGAGAAGCTCTGGCCGTGATGTGCTCCGAAAAGCTTTTTGTGACGTGGGCAAAGCAGTGTCAAATCTCAACGCTTAGTTTGTCGCATAGTCCAGCACGAGGAGCAGTCCAGTTGAAAGATGAGCGAGTCGGCCAACGTTCGGGTGTCTGGCCCCACGTGATTGCGTGCTTGTGGAGTCTTGTTGCAGACCTAATAGTGCATGGCAAAGCTGACCCGACAGTTTTATTCATATTCAATCTGCACCTTGGGACAGGGAGGATAGTCTCATGGGAAGAGGACAGGTGGCGGGAACAAGGTGAACGAGCAAGCGTCAGTCGGCCAAGCTTACAGCTCGGATGGAGTCTCGAGAGTGACGCCGAAGCGGTTGCCGTTGAAGACGCGGACAAGGTTGTAGTAGAACATGACCATCTCCATTTGGGTCGTCATCATAACCCCCTCGTCTATAGTGTGGATGCCGTTGAACTCGCCGAGGCGGACGGGGGTCCATCTGTAGATGTTGCGGCTGAGATCTGCAAAGGAAAGATGAGATTGGGCTGAACGACGGTTGGCTACATAGACTTACTAAGGTAGTGGCGGGTGTCGGTGTTTGCCGTCATGCCCTCGGCCGCCGGAACGACGATGCCGTCGGCAAAGGCATAGGTGTGGCGGATGGTGCCGGCAAAGGCGTCCCAGACGGGGCCCTCGGCGCGGGTGACGGGGCTGGGCTCGGAGCTCTTTCCCTTTGTAATGGCCAGCGTGCCGTTGTAGTCGACGTCGTAGCGGGGTTCCAAGCTGCCGGAGTCGGAGCCGGAGCCGGAGCTGGTGCCGGAGCCGGAGCCGAGGCCGGCGACGTAGTCCCGATAGCCGGCGTCATCCTCAAAGGCGCGGACGCGGATGCCATAACTGCTCGCAATCCCCGCGGCGAGCTCGACGATGTGGCGCTGGACATCGTGGAGGCTGTCGTGAACGGCAATGCGGTAGTTGACGCCGAGGGAGACGCTCTCGGGCATGGCGTTGATCTTGAAGCCGCCGACGATGACGTCGACGGCCTGCGACGTCTGGATGATGTACTGCGTTTCGCAGCTGGCGGCTGCGATGATTCTCGCCGCGGCCTCGAGGTCCCCCTCCTCGATCACCTTGGTCAGCTGGGGGATGGCGCGGGGCGAGTAGCGCGCCTGGCACTGCAGGTGGCGGTGGACGGGGCTGTCGTCGACGATGCGGGGCTTGAAGGGATTCGCCTCGAGGTCGTTGACGATCTGGGCCATGACGCCGATGGCTGTGTGCGGGAAGGGCACGGAGCTGTGGCCGCCCACGACGTTGAGGTCGAACCAGACGTCGAGGTAGCCCTTTTCGTAGACGCTCGGCAGCGCGTACAGCACCTTGCTCTTCTTCTCGTCGTCGTCGTCGTCGTCGTCTCCGCCGCTGTCCCCCTCGAGCTGGAGCAGGCCCAGCCCACCCTCGTCAAAGATGAGCTCCAGGCCGTCCTTGCCGTAGCGCCTCTCCAGCACCGGGGCAATGTGCGCCGCGCCGCGGAGGCCGGAGCACTCCTCGTCGAAGCCAAAGGCGACGAGGATGGTGCGCTTGGGCAGCCAGTCCGGGTCCGACGAGAGCAGCGTCTCCATGACGGCCATGATGGCGCTCAGGCTGCCCTTGTCGTCGACGGCGCCGCGGCCCCAGAGCCACGTGCCGTTGAAGTGGCCCGAAAAGGGCGGGTAGGTCCACGACTCGGGCTCGGCGACGGGGACCACGTCTTGGTGGGCGGTGAGGAGGATCGGCCGCAGCTCCTTGTCTGTGCCTTGGAATGTGTAAAGCAGGCCCAGAGTGTTGATCTTTTCAGGCTTGGCTCGTTCGTGGCTTTGGCAAGGGTAATGGAACATGTCATCAGCTTCATCGATCAAGGCCGACTTGGCAATGATGCCGACTACCTGAGGCATGAGAAAGGGAATCAACGTCTCAAGAAACTCACACGACTGGATACAACTCTTCCAGGGTGTCCTGGAGCTCATAAAACGGCTCCCAGCGCTCGTCTTGGTCGACGGGCCCCATGTCGTCGTAGCAGATGGTGGGCACCCGGACAATGGCCCGGTGGCGCTCGACCTGTCTCAGGAGGGCGTCCTGGGACGAAAACAGCTCATGCGCCGAGGGGAGGCCGTCGCCGGCCGGGTCGAGGGCGTCGGGCAGATCGCACTTGAAGCTCGAAGCCGCGGCGCCGCTCACGAGGGCGGTGGCGGCGAGCAACGACAGCTTGGCGCGAGACATTTTGTGCAAGTTGCGTCCTCTGGCTTGCGGTATATGCACCGAGCAGATGGTTTCTCTCAAACGGGTGTTTGAGAGCGCATGTGGAAGTAATTAGGGGCAAATAAATTGATGTGAATTGATAGGACAAGTGTGTATGCCTTCCCTTTAGCTATATGAGATCGAAGGGGGTATTTATACGTATAGGAAGCTCCTCTAGACCCTAAGTCAGCCCACCTAAAGTCCGGCACACCCCAACGCCGGCACTCTCTATAACCCTATCGCGTCGCTAAATATATTACATTGCAACCGCGTTTTCTCATATATCTCTTGCTCTATAATTGTAAAATAAACACTATTTGTATTAGCTATACCCCGGCTTTCTAAGTATACCGAAAACTAGCTTTAAGGAGCACTCGAAACTGTTAAAAACGGGATACCTTAGCTCTATACTAGTCAAAAGTAAGGTATTCTAAGAGGGGCCCTCTATACACGTCTTAAAGGGGCTCTACTTATTAAGGAGGCAAAAGAGGCATATTAGAGGCTTAGCAAAGAGTAGGAACAATACTTTACTAATTAGGTTCTTACTTTGGCCACTTTACGGGGACGAGGGCATACACCCAAAGCACGCGCAGCACACGGCGAAGAGTGAATAGAGTAGTTGACGACTTCATAGACCGTGGGATCATCTGATCATCAGCGTCGCAAGGAGCTCTACGAGTCTCTTGTTGGCAATGCAAATTCGGATGCTTTTTTACTTTATAGTTCTTCGTCTAGCCGAAGCTGCGTAATTGGCAGTCCTCGCTTTAGGAGGTAAAACGAACGTTGAAGATTAATCAAAATCGAAAAAGGATATCTAATTAAATGATCCGCGCACCCTAAGAGTCTTCATCTAGAGTAACGGCAGTCTCCCAATGTCGCCTCATCGTCATCTGCAAAGCTCAGGGACTCGGCTCGATGCTGGGGTTGAGCTTGAGCGTTGTCGTCGTTGTTCGCGTACCGGGCACACAACATGCACGTTACACGCCCGGTTCATAGTCTCCGTGGCTGAATCTGCAATCTCGAGTGAGTGGTACAGCATGGGCTCTGCGGGAGAAAGAGGGCGCCAACGGGTCAAAGTCAACGGCTGCTTGTGTCGCAAGGTGAAAGCCACGGCATTGGGGCTTGCCACTTGTCGGTACTTGATTTGCGGACGCCTGCTTTGTCCAAATTGGGCCAATCAAAGGGTCGGATGTTTCCCCCTGGCCGGACGAGGGCAGTATGCCACAAGCATCACGACCAATTCCAACCAGGCAGACGATCACCAAACATGACTATCATCAGTATATGGCTGCAGAAACAGTGCCTGGTCTTCGTCGGTTCTTAATCAAAGAGGACCTGAAGGAGTCTACCATCAGGTAACTCGCAAATCTCCTCCCTGCCACTCTTGACCCTTTTGAGCAAATCAATCCGTGCTGAACTGATGACTGCGGGGTTGTGGTATGATAGCCTATCACGTATTAAGCCCGAGATGTTTGTCGACATGAAGTATGTCAACTTGTAGAGATCATCGCTCGACATGATTAGCTTGGGAAGTTCAGTTTCACCTGGTCCATCAACGGAATACACACATGTGTGCGAGAACTGTGCGAAGCATACAAGTCTACTAACAAGCCCTGGCTGAGACGAGCGAGGACAGGCTATCCATGGTCCATAGTAGGCTGTAGTCACAAATCATACAGCAATAGAGAGGGACCAGGACTTGTTTTAGTATAAAGAAGCCGTGGCCGGCAGACAGACTGCCTCAAGGCACACAAGATCCGAGTCTCCCTCTGCAAGCGGAAACGCGATTTCTTTCTCGGGCCGGCGATCAAATCTGTGAGTTCGAAATAAACCAAACAAGCTCCCAACTTCGATCATTGCCGATCCTCGTCGATAGATGACCAGTGACGTCGTAAAACATTTTCCAGAACTGCCCTCGGAGAAAGTGGTGATCAGGGTGAAAAAGCCAGCGTGATAATGTCTGGGCGCCAAGAACAGTTTCAAGGCCACCGATGGATATGCCAAAAGGTGTGATTTGGCATCTGCTCAGTCAACAGCACTAGGTATGAGACCATTGTTCTTATCCTTATGGATATTCATTTCTACGAGATCGTAGTGGTTGAGTACCATTGAGTATTCGGGTCGAAAGAGCAGCGGAAGCCCTTTGCGTACTTCTTCTAGTTGAAGTCGAAAGCGCTCTGGCAGGCTTTGGGAAAGTTTGTCGAGAATGTCGGAATAGGGGGACAAGAGGGTGCAGGCGACATCGGGCGACTGCTCTAACCCTGACTTGTTTATCCACACCGAGGCAAAAGATCTAGTAAGGTTTAGATAGGCTCAATCAGGGTTTAGGTGCATTCGAACAAACCTCGCAAAGTCCTTGACAGTCTGAAGTAGAGGCTGTTGATGATGCTTGCAGCCGTGCAGTTGCAGTCAGCTCGTATAACGGTGTTTTATCTGTGGAAGAAGTTTACGATTTGAAATGGCGTCAATATCCTCTACCGTTGCTGTGTATGAGAAAATATCCATCATGATGCATCTGCTGTCGCGAAGCATGGCCTGATTTCGCAGTTTTCGGAGATATATCCCTTGGCAAGAGGGATCTAGGAAGCTAAAACCAACCGGTACAGGAAGAAGCAAGGAGGTGCAGAAAAGACAGTGGGGGAGAGAGGGGAAGCAGAAGTAGCGATAGCTTCCCATAGGGGTAGCAAAAAAGTAAGACAGATTAGCCGGCAACGGCTAAAAAGGAGGGGGAAAAGTGGCAAAAAGCTCTGTCTTCGGTCGGATATCAAAGACTCGGCCGAGGGGGATTTCCTTTGTCAGTTAGGATGCTAGAGGGATATAAAGAAGGGCGTTAGATAGAGGAAAGGAAGGGGATCAAGGGAAATATAACAACTAATTTTCTGCCCCTATTACTGCCCTCTAAGATTTGAACGATTCTGCCCTGCTTGTCTGACCCCTTACTGTTAATTTTACCTTCGTGCATTTTATATGCACTTCTCGCATCTCTCTTCGCGAGATCTGCAAGACGAGGGATCCTCTCGCTCTTCTTGAAGAGCGGTGTGCCTACGTACTTGGGTCTATAGAGGAGCCGACTTATTCAGCCCCGGCAGCATTAACGGGATTATTTCTCTTTGCACGTCCAGCAGCCGTTTATTGCCTCTACACACACAAAGGTCCCAGGCCCATGCACACAGCTCCTACAGGTAGCCGTCTTCATGCCCTTTTCCCGTTCTATATATATACTTGCCTTCCCCCTGCTCCGCCTGAGTAGTTGCTTCTCTATCATCCAACCAAATCTTCTTCGAGCATCTATTTCGTCATGCCTCTGTGGTTCTGCGACTGAGAGACTGCCTGCTCTGTGACAGCACCTCTGCCGCGCTCACCTTCAAAGGCCATGGCACGAATTCCCAAAGGCAGGGGTTGGTGTTATCGCCACTGTATCAACCAAGGCAGCCCTTTCTCATGCTGTTAACTCAAGTATTACTTGGATTCCTCCTCCTCTCAGTACACGGCCGCCGAGGCTCGTCGCATAGACGAGCTATGCCTTTGAATAGATGGCGCCAATCTCTGTTCCCGTGCATCAATGCTTAGGGAAGGATTCCCTTGCACCGTTGAACTGTCCCACAGTAACGTATGGGCCATGATGGGAAACCAGAACCGCCACGTTGAGATTACCTTTCAAGACAATGTTAGATGGCTCGCACGCTTCCGTCCTACGACAATTTCGTGACCACATGCTCCAAAGCGAAGCTGCAAACGTAATGTACCTTGAACAACACGCTCGCATTCCCACACCTAGAGTGTTCGATTGGGCATGTGAGTCCGATCCGACACTCGCTTGGAGCCGGCTACATTCTGATGGAGAAGTTGGATGAAAGAACCCTGGATTGGACAAGTGCGGCGCCGAATCAAAGGGAAAAGGTCATGTGTAGCAGTTGTTTAAAGTTTCCTCGATATCAAGATGCATGCCTTCAACGCAATGTGGTCACCAGTCTCTGCCACAGATGCCACCGAGTCCGAGGTACAAGGCCTGGCACACCACGCAACATTCCGGGTGGGATGCGGAGTTTCGCTCGGTCCCTTCTCATCCTCGCTGGAGGGCTCATGTGCTATCCTCGAATCGTACCTCGAAATGATGGCCAGCGGGGAGATTGAGGCGCGCCATCCGGTCGATGTTTACTTTGCCCACCGTTTCCGCCTGGATATTGTCCACGAACACTTCCCGTCTGGGGAGAAAGGTCCCTCGAGCATCTAGACGACAAGGGCGACCTTATCCTAGTCAATGACTCTTTCGACGTCGTCGGACTCATAAACTGGGAATGGGCGCAGACGGTTTCACGAGCGGATGCATTCTGCTTAGTACTCACTACGTATGAAGTGACCTGTGTCCGAGTTCTATAACGGATTCAATGACCTGGGCGTGGATAAAATGCGACTAGCTGATATTCTTCGTGAAAGGGGACGTCAAGATCTCACCCAATGTGTCATCGATGGCAGGAGGATGCGGAAGTTCTTCTTCGCTCTTGGTCCCGAGAGCTCTTTCTTCGACCCAAGTACACTCACAGGTCTCTTCCCAGGACTCAGGCGAGTTTTTGACTCCAGAGACGAGGGGTGGGTGCAATGGAAGGGCAAGGCTCTCGACGAATGGAAGAGCGAGGAGTCGCTCCGGCGCTTGTTGGAGCTGGATGAGGGCAAGAAAACGTATCTTGTAGATTAGCCCCATATATAAGACCAGGCGTCCCCTCGCTCCTCTTGGAGGCCGACGTAAGCCGACTAGTCTACTTCGTACAGAGGAGCCAGTTCTGGATACTGTACTCCCGGGCTTAACAAAGAGGAGAAAACGCTCCATATTCGAGAGCAGCCGTTGTGTTTTCCATCCACGACCATGTCTACAGGGCAGTCGGGATGAGGATTTCGCGGGCCAAGATAGCAGGCTCTTGGGAGAACAGTCACATGGGCAGCAACGTTCTTGATACTCGATCAATTTTCCCACAAATATCGTCATGTCCTAGCATCATTAGACTTCAATGCAGAGCGCTTCCGACCGCAAAGTTCCCATTTCTTAAACGAGGTAGCTAGGCGAGACCCATGTCAATCGGCCAGTGGAGGCCTCATTCGGTGCCCTGATGGTGGTCTGGGAGTGAAACATACCCCATCTGGCCGTCTCAGCATACTCGACGGCGCCATCGACGGCTGGCTGCGTATTACCCCGTGGTCCCTTGAGACCACTGCCGACCCATACCCTTATTGAATTGACACTTATTGATGATTGGATTGCAGAAGCCGACGCCTACGTGGCTGCGGTGCTTTGTAGCTCAGCGCGGACGGCTGTCTACGTGCGACTTTGATGAGCCCATTGGCTATTTGCTGTTATCTGTTAAAGAGGAAAACAAAGGATGGATCTAGTTAATATCCATTATGTTATTGGTTTTCAACTGATATATTCCAAGTAGCTACGTAAAATACGTCCAACGACATGGCCTCGGGTCGCACTCCCCTCTGCCGCCCTGGCCAACCAAGACCGCAGACTCACTCGACGCACTCAAGCACTCCAGTCCAGTTGCGGCTTTACTTGGCAGAATGCTACCGTCTTGCACCTGGTTGACGTCAATCGGGCCAGGTGCAAGCAACGTGACGTGTCACGGCGGCCGGTGGCAGTCTGCTAGATGCGCCACTCGGCTTGTTCAAAGTCCACGTCGTCATTGTTCTGTCCCGTGTACGACAGTAGGAATACCTCGGACCACCTTGTTGATGACATCGACAATGGCGTCTGCGGCAGTCAAGTGGGCGAAGTGGCCAGTGGCCAGCTTATAAGTCTGGACCTTGCGGCCCTGCTCCTCCAGCAAAGCCACCATCGACGTCTGATAGGTCAAGGACATGACGCTGTCGTAGGGTGTGTAAATGTACGTAACTGGCATCTCCCTCCAGGCGCAGTGCGTGATGGCATTGTATAAGCACTCGCCGTTCCAGCGGACCATGGTGGCATTGATGTCTGCCTCGAACCCTCGTTGGTCGGCACTGGCACTGCCCGGTGGACCATGGAAGAAGAGCGTCATGTCCTGGTCAAAGTTTAAAAGGAAGGGCATAAAGGCCTCATCGCCCATTTCCTTGATCTTGCCAGCCACTGCAGCGTTGTCAGCACTCGCCCAAGTTCAAGGACGGCAGGAGTACAGAAAGCACCGAAAGCTGCTCACCGGAACCGCCCTCAGGAAGGGCAAAGGCGCACAAGTAGACAAGGTCCGACACGCCGCCAGGCAGCCCCCTCTTGGAGCGGCTGTCGAGGCCCAGGCCATGCAGAGAGTTGCTGCCGACTTGGCCTCCGTACGAGTGCATAAGGGCAACGACGCGACGGCCCGAGTCGACCAGCTTCTTGGCGTAGGCTCGCATGTGCCGCGAGTCCGAGGCCAAGCCATCAGTCGGAGGTCGCGCCTGGTTCAGTGACGGGTGGCGAGGGCAGTGGACCTCATAGCTGGCCGCTTCGAGCGCCTTGGCGAGCTTGTCGTAACTTGCCGGCGATTGCCAGCCGCCGCCGATGATGAGGACAACAGGCTTGTCGGTGGCCATGGACAGTGCTACTCTGACGCTGGATTCGATGCGCAGTCGATTGCTGAGGAGACAGGGGGGGTCGAGGACGGTGAGAGGGCAGGCTGGGGAGAAATAGGGGGGCTGCGATGGATAAGGAAGAGTGTGGGCTTATACGCAACAGAGAGCGGCGCCTGTTGGGCTCTTATGCCCGATTCTATTACATTACAGTACATGCCGTCTACCTCGGCTTTCTCCGCTGGGTAGCCATTCATAAACGGCCTCCACGTCTCTTCTTTGGCTGTCTGCATTGGCGGGCTGTCTGGGTAACTCTGGCGTCCCTCCTCTTTGCTTTGGTCTACCGATGGCCACGTCCCTCGTGGCGTCGCTTGGCGATGCAAGTCATCACATTACTGCCACGTACGGCATCAGCCAGCTGAAGCTATACAGCAAGTAAATCCATTAGACTCGTACTCATACTCCCCCTGGAGGCGACCTCAGAGGAAGCGTTCTGGCAGATGCTATGTCAAGGGAGGTCGGCAGGTACTGAGCTGCCTCACAGTCGATTCAAAATCGATGCCCTTTATCATCCAGACGATGATACATCGAGTTCCGCACATTTCCTAACCACCGGCGCACCAAGATACCGCTTCTCGGCCGACGCTTCGTCAAGGAGGGCTTGGCGCTTTCCATGCGCCGTTCTTATCCATTACTCCCGGAGAAGCTGCATGCATGAATCCGCATCATGTCTTGGAGATGCCGGAATCCCCATTGACACATGTTCTTAAACTCAGCACTTCGGTCTACATTGGGGGCCTTCAGAACCACTGCCTCAGCATCTGGTGCCCGGTGGCTCGGCGTGGCCATGGCCCATCACTCGTGCTTCATGGAGGCCATCGAGGCTCTCAGGCAGCTGGGATGTGGTATAGCAGCTTTTGGCGGCATCGGAATCGAAGAAGCCGCTTCCTCCCGCCCGGTACGCTCCAACACATCGACGACGCCGCCACGATAGACTCTGAGCTGGCTTGGATCATTGCCCTTGTCCCCGGGCTGGCGGTTTCTGTTTGTGTATGTCCACGTCGCCCGGCAAACACAAGAAACCTCTGGAAGCACCACCTGTGTTCCAGACGCAGTTCATTATTATCGCATGTTTCTTCTTCCTCCCGTTTCTTCCCCTAAGTAAACCAAGTATGCTTGCCTCGTGACCCATGTTATTTTATCTCCCGCATCGCCAGTCAGGCACGCGGACATGATGTAACCAAGAGAAATGTAGTAATCTAGGTGTACTTGCTACTTTGTACAATACAGCAAAAAACAATGCCATGCTAACCATACAACCCTGTGTCGATTTGACACAGCTTGAGGACACCCAAAACCGACAACCCCAAACCCAAGCGCCAGACATTAAGCATGCTCCCTCCTCTCCTCACCGATGCCGTCGCTGCCGTCGCTGCCAATATTTTCCTTGCCCGTGGAGCTAGTTTCGACGGGGCTGTGGGCGTCGTCTCGCAGCTTACGCGTGATGTAGCCCGGCGGCACCCACTTGGAGCTATTCCACGGCTTGAGGCCGGGCTGGCTGTACATCAGGTCGACGTTTTCGAGGCTGAGGGCGCGGGACTCGTAGAGGAAGAACCAGACAAGAAGGGCGGCGGCGATGTTGGTGCCGACAAAGACGAAGCCGTAGCTGTACGAGATGCCCGTCGAGGCCAGGGGCGTGAGGAAGCCGATGAGGACTGCGTTGGGGGGACGCGTCAGTCGTGCGGATCTGGGAAGGAATTGGGGATATGGGGAGGAGACACGCCGAGACACGGATAGGGGTGGGACTGGGCTCGACTTACAGTTTCCCAGCCAGTTGCCGGCCGTGGCCAGCGACGCCTGCTTGGCACGGGTACGCAGGGGAAACGTTTCGCCAATGACGACCCAGGCCATGGGACCCCAGGTGCCGGCAAACGAGGCAATGTACATGCAGGCCGAGACAATCATGACGATGCCCGTTGTGCTACTGCTGGTCGAGGGGGGCCTGCCGGTGCCGATGGCGGCAAAGACGAGCAGCCACAGGGCTTGCCACAGGGCGCCGAGGAAGAGCGGCCAGCGGCGGCCGAACTTTTCGACAACGTAGAGGCCGTAAAAGGTCATGACGACGTTTACGGCGCCGAGGATGAGCTGCGTCAGGATCGGGTCGCTTATACCGGCCGACTGGAAAATGGTGGCGCCGTAGTAGAAGAAGTAGTTGATGCCCGTCCACTGCTGGAGGAAGTGGATGCCAATGCCGAGCAGGGTGCGATAGACGACCTTTGGTGTATCGGGGCTCGGTGTGAAGCACTCGGCCCAGGAGCCGCTGCCGACCTGGCGCTCCTTTTCGAGAATCTGGCGCATCTCATGGATGTCGTCCTCGACAGTGGCGTGGCCCGGGTCGTGCTTGAGGCCGCGAAGGCGGGCGATGGCCATGCGGGCCGCGTCCCAGTCGCCGCGGCCGGCGAGCCAGCGGGGGGACTCGGGGACGACGAGGATGCCGATGCCGAGGGGCAGGGAGAAGAAGATGCCGAGGCCGATGACGATGCGCCACGACGCGCTCGACTCCTCCATGGTGCGGGTGCCGTAGTTGATGACGTTGGAGACGAGGATGCCAATGGTGATCATGAGCTGGTACGAGGCCACGACGGCGCCGCGGATTTCCTTGGGCGACGACTCGGACTGGAACATGGGCACGCCGACCGACAGGTTGCCGACGCCCAGGCCGGCGACGAAGCGGCCCATCATCATATGAACCCAGCTATCCATGGCCGTGATTTGGATGATGTTACCAACGATGAAGACGACCACACCAAACGACATGCTCTTTCTCCGGCCCCACCAGTCGGCCGTGCTGTGCGAGGGAGTGGGTGCACGTCAGCTCTCGTTCTCTCCGGATGGCAGAGTCTGTAGTCAAGACGACCAGGAAGGACGTACTAGGCTCCGGAGAGAGCACCTATCAGGCAGCCGATGCTCATGAGGGACACGAGCAGGGACTTGATGATGGGCTGCCACTCCTTGGCGCCTTGGGCGTTGGTCTGCGCAAAGCGATTCATGAAGTCTTTGAAGAGGAGCATGGCCGAGATCTGGCCCGTGTCGTAGCCAAAGAGGAAGCCGCCGACCGAGGTGGTGGCCCCGAGGATGAAGGCCTCGACGCCGCAGTCGGCGCCATTGACCTTGATGGACCTGAGTGCAGAGGGTGGCGGTTAGCAATTCGGGGCGCATGGACTTGCCGAGAATGGAGTGAGTTCCTTGCGGTCGCAGCCCGGCGAGGAAGAGGAGAGAGCATGCTCACTTTTTCCCCAGCATCGCCGCGGGTCGCTCTGTTCAGGAGTCTCCAAGTCGGGTTTCGAGCGGTAGAGGAACGATATGAAATGCGGTCGGGTGGATGTGCCCCAGGATTCGAGAGGAGAGGCTGCGCGACGGAGCTGCAACCAGAGCCTGGGTTTGACAGGACGAGATACGGGAGGGTGTTGTCTCAACGTCAAGAAAGCCGTCTGTCTCTAGCCAGATGTTCACAAGGGGTCCGAGAGTCGACGATGCGCACACATTGAAGAGAGAGCGCGGGAGAGAGGGAGGGGGGGACTGAAGATACGGGGAGAGGGCGTGAATGGGTATATTTACCGCCCACAGGACAACAAGGGGGGTGCGGTGGGTAACGCAGAATCACGGAATATTGCCAGACGAGCCCGGCGAGGAGGCGATTTGTGGGGAGGGAGGAAGCGAAGAGGGCGGCTCGCATCGTGGAGTCGCATGGGCCAGTCGGAGTGGGACGCCTTGGCAATCGTCATTCCCCAGGACGGGACGCGTCAAAGGAAGCAGACCCCGGAGCCCGGCTTGCACCAAAGCGAGAAAGGGCCGTTGCGGCAGGTGGGCTCGGCGGCGAGGCGGCTGCGATGACGTCTCGGGGAGGCGGGGGGGAGGCGGGAGAGAGGCGACGGAGTCAAACAGAGGCGCCTTCTTGGCAAGCAAGGCGCTGACGACGAGGGCAAGGAGAGCCCGCGATGGCAAACAACCCCATGGGGGCAAGTTGGAAACCGTGGTTGAAACGCGCCGGTGGGTCGCTGTTCTTCGTTCTTGTTGCTGATAGATCGTCTGCTCTCTGCTTTTTTTTTGGTCTGCATACCGCCGCCCTATGGCACCGAGAGTCGGCCTCGAGTCGTGTCGGGGCGGGAGCTGTTGTAGGCAGCAAGCATTGAAGCCATCGTGACATCACAACTCGATAAGCTTAATAAATCCACCACCAGGCGTCCTTCCTTCCCCTTGTGTGACTGGTTTCTTGGCTTGGGAAGCTGCGCCTCGACACAAGCGGCACCTTCCCTCTTGATTCCATCCCCTATCTTGGATTGATCCATCACGTAAGTAAGAGTGCTGGCCGCTCCACCGAGGCCTCATTGAACACGGAAGCAAATTATCCTTGGTACAAGCATCTTGGTACAAGCATCTTGGTACAAGCATCTTGGTACAAGCATCTTGGTACAAGCATCTTGGTACAAGCAACATCGAGGAGGTGGACCAGCGGCAGCAGTACACTAACATCAACGCATCGGCCGCTCCCTTCTCTCGATCCCGGTACCGCCGGCGAGGGACGCTGTGACGGCTCTTCTTGGCTCTACTTGAATGGCCGGGGAGGCCGGCCGTGTTTTGCTTCCACTCCCCTCTTCGGCGCCTTGCTCGGTGGCTCTTGTCATGCGCCCGCTTCTGCATGACGACCATGATGCAAGCATTGAATGCAGGGAAAGGGAAATGAACAAGCAGACTGGGGAAACCAGTATGAAAATTAAACCCCCCAAAAAAAGGAGGAAACGGGGACCGATCAGAGAAGAAAGGGGCGCCCCGTGGGAATGCCGGGCCCGTTCGCCGGGCACAGCCAGCCCACACGGCTTCTGCCAAGCGGTCGCTACCGAGAGCGCAGAAGGAAAAGGCACGGCGTCGAGGTTCCAGAAACACGGCGAGCCTTGGCTGCCAAGCCTCCGTCTACCTATTTGGAATCACGATCGCCTCTCTCCCTCTCTGGCTAGAGGAGTCTGTTTAACTCGGACACTCTGTCTGTTGAAGTCCTTCCTGGCTGCACCGGTTCTTGACTCAGGACTGACCGTCGTCACACAGCCGTTGCAGGGATCGTCATCTTCCACGCAACCTTCCATGCACACCAAGGTCGCCTCATCTGTAATCGGGATGACTTGTCAAAAAGAAAAGTCGCGTTAACCAGCCCAGACTTGTTCCAGAAATACACAGAATAAATTGGACGTGCGGAATGTAGGCCCGGAGAAGCCAGCGCAACCAAAAAACTTGAGTGCGGTCAATGTGGATCGAACACATGACCTTCAGATAACAGATGGATTGGATCCACACTGAGGATTGAAGTGATACTTCAGTCTGACGCTCTCCCAACTGAGCTATGCCCGCTTTGTTGAAAACATGACAATATGTTTTCATATATATCCGAACAATCATAGCTTGCGCCCAGACCCAAACTCGCGGCCTGCTTCCAAGCTCCTAGCTGCCACCCTGAGCTGGCTGATATCCCTCGGCTGGTATGTCACTAGCAGCGCCATGCTCTCTTTTAGAAAATTCCAAGCTTTAGTAGCACGCCAGTCCAAAGGCCAGCAGGCTAACTAACGCCCACTGAACCAAGCCCAGCAAGTCTGTGCCCGAGGACGTTCGTCTCAGCCTGGCTACCCTGAAGCCACGTATTTGGCCAGATGGTGCGCTCTGCGATGCAAGCCGTGCATGCGGCTGCCGTCAATGGGATGGCATGTGAGCTGTTTACTTATTTTTTTGAGATGCTCGGTTTTATGTCACCTAATGGTCGAATGATATGCTCCTGTTGATGGACGGTAAATGCTTGCCCACTTTCCATAGCCCTTTCACTCTCATTTTTAGCATGCGATTTATAACCTCGACGCGAAATCTGATTGCTGACGATGAGACGCCCAAAGTAAAACAGCACGCAGTAGAAAGGACAGCATCCAAACATGTACGGTCTAGTTTCCAGGCAAATCCTGCCCGTCTATATGCAAACCCCAGACTCCAGCGGTCATGCATCGTGTCTCCCAAACAGCCAACCCTCCCATGCTACCTTCAACGGTCTACCGCAGCCGCAGAATCTCGCGCAACCACCAGACGTGGATGCGCGCATCCGGCGTCAGCTCAGGGTGAAAGCTTGTTCCGAGGACATTACCCTGGCGCACGGCAATGACGTCCCCCGAGGCATCCTTGGTGCTCGCCCGGGAGACGCCGGCCTTCATCTTATCGACGCGGCCGGGCAGGGTGGCCAGGACGGTGACGGGGGCGCCGGGTAGCACCTCCTCGACGACCGGGGCGCGGATGAAGACGCCCGGGAACGGGGGCGGGGGGGCAAAAGCGTCGGCGGCGGCCAGAAAGGGCAGGTCGAGGCGGGCCTCGAAGCTCTCGATCTGGCGGCCAAAGTGGTTGCGGTGGACGCGGACGCCGAGGCCGCCAATGAGTTCCTGGCCGCCTTTTTTGGTGGCGTTGGCCTGCTCGGAGAGGAGGATGAGGCCGGCACAGGTGCCCCAGGTGGGCTTCTTCTGGGTCCTTTGGAGTGTCAGTGCCGGCGAGGGTCACATGTTGCTCAGAGGCGACGAGTTTCAGCCTACTTGACAAAGTCCCTCAGCGGCTCAAGGAGGCCCGACTGGGCGGCTACAAAGGAAATGGTGGTGCTTTCGCCACCGGGGATGATGAGGCCGTCGCAACGGGCCAGCTCGGCCGGGGTTCGGACCTCGAGGGCCTCAAAGGACAATGGCGTCGAGGTCTTGACGAGGTCGGCGGCGGTACGCAAGAGGTTAAGGTGCTCGGCGAAGCCTCCCTGAAGGGCGAGGACGCCAACGGTGAGGGTGGCGGCGGCGGGCCCGTCGTCGGACGAGGCCAGCCGGGACTGGGCGGTCATGAAGAGCGACTTGCTTTGGTGATGGCGAGGGCGATGGCGATGGCGCGTTGCGTGGTGACGAGGCGATAAGTATGGAGTCGGTGAGGGAACGGGTTGGTTGGTCCGGGACTCGGGGTTGGCCGGGCTGTTTGATCCGAGCCGAGGGGAGTCAGACCGGCATGCGGCGGGCAAAAATCCTCGGAGGTGACAGTGCAGGATGGCTTGCATCCGGGGTCCGGAGGCGGAGGCGATTACTAATTACATTGACAAATCCGCTGTACTGTCCCGGATACAGAATAGGTACTACAGTACATAAACGAATGGAAGAGATTGAAGAGCGCATGTACAGAAACATATATGAATCGAAATGGTAGCAATATAGAGAGGGGTTGCATGGCAAAAGGCCGAGTCAAGCAGACGCAAACGGGCTTCGGAGACAAGACCAGCGAGAGCGATGGGATGGCGGTCCGTCTTCGGAGGATGACTTGCAGGCAAAAGGCAGGGTCCAGGCCTGGCAACCAGGGTTCTGTCCGAGGTGGGGTTCCAGAATGTCACGTCGAGCCGTGTACGGAGCACAAAGCAAGGCACATCGAGTCGATGATGGTAGGGTGCGGTGGCGAGTCGGTCACGCCAGATCGATGATTTGGATTCTGGCAACAGCTTCTCGATCTGCTGCTTCTCCTTTGGACCTGGCCTGCCTGTTCTGTACAGCACAGTAAGTTACAGTACAGGACAGTACAGTACATGCATGTCCTCTGCGCCCTTGTGCACCACAGCAACCCGCTGCAGCAAATGCCGACCCTGGCCGTGGCAGCGACCCGATGATTGCCGTCGCCACAGACGCCATGTCGGTCGGTACATGATGTCGAGGTGGGGGGTACAAGCCCTGCCCCCGGGCTTTCCTGCGTCAGGCGGGGTACCCGGAGAGGCCACCCGCGTGTACGTACGTACCCAGACTCTTGGGAGCAGTGGGGAAGGCACGACTGGAAATTTTTTCCGCAAGAACTTTCCCGTGGTAATGGGAAATATACCTCAGAGTACCGAGCAAGTGCTGGCGGATACTCACGTACAGAGGTACCCATACATGGGAGCCCGGCTTCGGCATCCGTCTTCCGCCATCGTCGCCTCTCTCGCCCCGGACGCTCTTTTCTTGCCCCTCCATCTCTTGCAATTACCATTCTTACCATTCTTTCCATACTTTCCAGTCATCATCCACCCTGCGCCGTCACGATACAGGAACAAGCAGGGAGCAAAGCTCCTCCATACGCAGGGAAAAGATCCAAACCTCCAACAGTCTCGGTACGGACGGACCTACAGCTCGGTTGCCCGGCCGTGACTGTCTGAGGGCTGACTCACTCTCCTCGCAGCCGCATCCCGGCTCCGACATACACCGCGGTCCATATAAACCACGGCCATATCTCCACCTCGTCCAACGCTCTCCGTCCCCTCGAGCATCTCCCGCAGCCAACATGACCCACGACGCTTCCAACGGCTCCAACGGCGATGCCGCGGCCGCCAAGCCCTCGTCCCTCTCCGTCAAGGCCGGCCTCGCCCAGATGCTCAAGGGCGGCGTCATCATGGACGTCACCACGGCTGAGCAGGCCCGCATTGCCGAGGAGGCCGGCGCCTGCGCCGTCATGGCCCTCGAGCGCGTCCCTGCCGACATCCGCAAGGACGGCGGCGTCGCCCGCATGTCGGACCCGGCCGTCATCCGCGAGATCCAGGACGCCGTCACCATCCCCGTCATGGCAAAGGCCCGCATCGGCCACTTTGTCGAGTGCCAGATCCTCGAGGCTCTTGGCGTCGACTACATTGACGAGAGCGAGGTTTTGACCCCTGCCGACCATGAGAGCCACGTCGAAAAGAGCCCCTTTTCCGCCCCCTTTGTCTGCGGCTGCCGCAACCTCGGCGAGGCCCTGCGCCGCATTGCCGAGGGCGCCGCCATGATCCGCACAAAGGGTGAGGCCGGCACCGGCGACGTCGTCGAGGCCGTCCGCCACATGAAGACGGTTAACCGTCAGATCGCCCAGGCCAGGGCCGCCCTGGCCGAGGGCGGCATGGTCCGCATCCGGGAGCTCGCCCGGGAGCTCGAGGTCGACGCAGAACTGCTGCGCCAGACGGCCGAGCTGGGCCGCCTGCCCGTCGTCAACTTCGCCGCCGGCGGTGTCGCCACCCCCGCCGACGCCGCTCTCATGATGCAGCTCGGATGCGACGGCGTCTTTGTCGGCAGTGGCATCTTCAAGTCGGGTGACCCGGCCAAGCGCGCCAAGGCCATTGTCAAAGCCACCACCCACTTCAAGGACCCCAAGGTCCTGGCCGAGTGCAGCACTGGCCTGGGCGAGGCCATGGTGGGCATCAACTGCGACAGCATGAAGCCCGAGGAGAAGCTGGCCGGTCGTGGCTGGTAGCGAGCGGAACGAGGCAGAAAGATTCACCACCGATTAAACGAGGCAGAGATGAGCATGCCAGCGACACCTCGAGACAACGACGATCCGTCTCGACTTGTCCTCAACTCCACTCGACGTTTGTACGCTTGAGCAGAAGAGAGGACGGAAAGAAGACTCCGTAAGCCGGCATTGTCCGGCTACGACAAGGCGCTCCACACGTCTTTTGGCTTTTGCACGTTAGATGGTTTGGTTATGCGCGGGCGCCTAGCTGCAAGGGCCTTCAACACTTTTTGGCATATCCTGATGTGTATCCGGAGGGGAATGGATGCTTTGGGGTGGCGAGGAAACCATATCGCGCCATGTAGATTACTGCTCAAGTCCCTGGTCTCATTAGCGGTTCCAATACTTGCTTGTTATAGAAGAGACACGTTTCTGCGTAACGACTGCCAGTGGATTACATGCAAGACATTGCTGCGAACGAGATGGGCTTACGTGCATACATGTGCCTCTACATGTGCATCGAGCATGTGTCCCCGGGCGGCCCGAAATAGAAACGGGAGTTTTGTGTCTATCCCGGGGAGGCAGGCTGGAAGCACAAGAGTATATGCATGTGTATGTATGAAGTGACGGCGCAGAGAGACATGGCACACGTGTAGCGAATGACAGACGGATGCCAAGATTCGAGGTCGGGATGCATGAGTACCGGTATCACGGCTGCTGATGGCTCCGGGGCCGGTATTTCAATCTCGTCTTTTCTTTTTCCTCACCCGTGCCGCGCCAAACGACGGTTTCTAACCTTGAAAAGAGCGGGCGACGTAGACCGTTGGCAACTTGGCCTTGTGAGCGGCAAACAGACGCTTCAGCCGGCCATCCTCTTCTTCTGCACTCTGTACATGTACCAGAGTCCCCGTCTTTTTTTCTTCAGATATTTTATCGTTTCGCAGGAGTCGAGGGGGCGTCGTCCACTTGATTGCTGGGGCTTCTCGCTTGTCTTCTCGTTGACTGGCTTGTGTGGAAAGAGGGTCGCGGTTCTCACACGGCTGCTTCGAAGAGCTGGCGTTTCGATTCTCACGACCCGCCATGTTTTTTTTTGGATTGGTTTCCAGACACTCTTGTTTTTGTTTGAAGGGGGGAAAAGACTTGTCTTGTCATTATGGCCCGAAAGTAGCCCTTCTGCAGAGCCACCGCAGACTCTGTGAGCAGCATCGAGCGCTGCCCGCTTTGAAGGCCTCCAAGGAACGTCGCAATCTCGGGGGGAAAGCCCATATTCCATGCTAGGGCGCTTCGTGTAACATCTACATGTTTTTTTGGGGCAGGGGATTTCAAATCTTTGACCGTTTTGCTCCAAGAGCCCAGCCCGTTGGCCGGTGGCAGGTGTGATACTCTGCCGTCATCCGTGGCTGCTGTTTCCATGCTGAATGTACCGTTTGCATGACCGGAGAAGTAAGTGAGAGGGTGGAGAGCAGTTTGATCCGGACGATATTGTCTCGGTGGTCGACTTGCTGCGGCTTCCCTGGTGCAGCCCTGAGCAGCGGGAGCTGGGGGCCTGTTTCGAGCATGATCCACTGCCGTGGTTGTTCATCAGCCCCAACAGCCCGGGCAACCCGAGGTGCAGTGCCCGGGCTCGCAGGTCGGTGCTACCAGCCATTAATGTATCAGCTCAGGCGTCTATACTGAGGCGGGGCGAGGAGGGAAATCAAAAGCATAAGACAGGACTGACCACGGCAGCATTCCGCAGCGAGACGCAAGAAAGGTCGACAGGCCGAAGGCGCTTGGCTCAAGTATCGGTCGTGGCTTCTGTTTCGATTCGCCATCCTGATGCCCAGGCTACGTGGGCAACGGAGGTGGCGCCTGTGATGGTGAGAGCGACCTGGGAAAGTACCCCCCGAGCTTGACTATCAGTGAGGAGACTGGAGCGAGAGGAGCCATACCCTGGCCTGGGTCTCAAAAGACCTCGGGTTTGTGCATGAGGAGCGCGTTTTGCTGACTAGCACAGCTTCGTTTCCCTTTCTAGCCCCGATGTTCCTTTAGAGAGGCTTTCGACAGTCGCCCTCTCCCCCCTTTCGAGTCTTGGTATGTCTTGCCAGGCGTGGCATTGCTGGTGCGTCTGGAAGACTCCAAGGGGCAGAATTGCTGTGATTCTTGGTGGTTTTTACTGTGTCGGTCTCAGTGGTTACCAGGGACCGATTCTGCAGTGGGTAGAAGCTGCGGCAAATCGTTACGGCACGGGGCAGCACAAAGGCTGAGTCCATAACATAATCCACCAATGGCTTTGGGCCCTGGCCTGACCTCTGGCCAGGTTCATGTCTTTTTGTTTCTATCTTTGATTCTCGCCAAGCAGCCGAGCTCGTGCAGCCGGCTGGCCTTCTTTTGCCCCCCCTCTCCCCTCCCCTCCCTTTTTTTCAAATTCTGGTCTTTCTTGACATCGACGATCACTGACATGTTGCTCTAGGCAGTCCCACCAGCTTCCCGAGTCCTAGAGCTCTACCGGTCTTGACGCCCGTCTTCGTTTTACGCCGCTTTGCGTTTCTCCAACGCCAGCTCTTCGTCTTACCTACCTCAGCCCGTTCGTGCTGCAACCAACAAATTCCAATGGAGACGAGCCACAGCCGGAGACACCCGTTATCGTCGTCATCACCCGCAAGTCCTCTCTTGCGGGTGTTTCAAGCATTCACCCAAGTCCACAAGCTTCGAGCTCAGCGCCAGCCCTGCGACACTAGGCCCAGCTCCAGCAACTGGCGGCCCTCGGCCGACCGAGCCAAGTATGCATCTCGACCAACGGGCATACGAATAAGAGTACACGTCTCAACAGGAGTCATCGGCAATTGGAATACGAAGAGACCGGGTCGTGGATGAGGACTGGAACGCACCATCGCATGGCCCCCACTGCAGGCGATTCTTGGGCCACTGTCTTGTCAAGACTCTGGCAATAAGAGATCATAGATCTCACAAACGGCTACAGGCCCAATTTCTCTCAGAAATATCGGCATGGGTCAATTTGCACTGCATTTATACATACCCATCCGTCCACTCCAGGTTTCTCTCCCCCTTTCCCCTTACCCGGACCCGCCGGCGGAATCCCATCTTCCGCGACGGGCTCAAACAACATCATTGATACTGAATTTCCTTTGAACTGCAGAGAAGCTATCCCCGTCGACGCTGAGTAGTTTCAGAGGCCTTAGAAAGCTCCTGAATTTGATTCGAGGGTTGGAGAACACGATCATCTTACTCGCGGGCTTGACCCTTTCAAAATATTGAAGCATGCAACGGTATTATCAGGACAACCTAATGCATTTGAATCTCCGCCGCACCATCACCGCTTACTATTCGTCCAGGGTTGCTGAGTTTGAAACACCGGATAGACAACTGTCCTTCATGGCTGGAGCCACAAACAGCACAAATCAAAGCACACCAAGCCTTGCCTACACACGGCTCAGCACGGAGAGTTTATAATTTTTGCAATGGATACTTCTAAGAATAGCTTCTGTCCATATATATTCTATTCAAAGATGGTATTTGAGCCCGGATTATCATTACCGCATATAGTTCAGAAGTTGCCGGAGGATTTGTTGTTTCCTAGTCTTGGCGTATCTCCCCAAATCTAGTCAAGGTCGTCCATTCTCGACATCAGACAGAAGGGGCCTGCCCAGGGGTATGTAGTCAGAGGATTTGGTTCTTGTTTTTTAACTTGCATGAATTAACGTTTCTTCTATATCTTCGCATGCATGCTTGCAGGTATTAATAGCATATACTTCTAGCCGAGAGCCGTCTATTTACGAGGATACACGGGATTATCTGCAAGCGGGCACGCGTAGCTCAGCTTTCCATCTACACATTCCCGAGGAGTCGTCACAGTAGATGATGACCGACAAGTTCGAATGCCAGTACAAATGGGACGAACAAATAAAACTCAACGTTGAATTATTGGGCGCAGGGAAGGAACTGAAAGAAAACTTGACGTGTCATGCTGCTTTATGGAGGAAGCTCAAGGGGGGACCAGACGTGCCTGGGGTGATGCTCATGACGCAGCCGCTTCTCAAAGCCAGGAAAGAGCCGTGATAATTCAATCCCTCCAGAGATTCAGCAGCTCTCAAGTACTAATTTCGAGAGTCAAGGACTGACCTGAAAATCCGCAAAGAATAAGCACTCGTGAAATTCTTTTTGTTCGACTACCTTTAGCTAACGGAGAAACTCATCTGCTACGATGTGTTAATATCGTAGCACCTTGCTCTACCCCATTGATTGCCGCCCAATTCGCGTCAATCTTTGTGCTTGCACTTGCACCCCTGGCAACGAAGGACACGCTCCTCTGGATCGATATAGCACCCGAACACAGAGTCGCAGTTCACGTTTCTGCAACGTCTTGTCTTTCGCAAGGTTTGAAGGCACCGGTCGAACGCGGATTTCTCGGCGCTCTTTTCCATCGTCATCACCTGGTATGCAGAAGCCTCGATGGCCAAGCGCGATTCGAGACTCTGAACTTGAAGCTTAGTTTGCTGCAATTCCTCACCTAGGCCCCGGATCTTTTCATCGCAGTATCTCAACACCTTGAGCGAAAAATCCGTGATGGGCTTGAGACTCTTGAACTCGTACGTGCCAACGAGAGCCGAAATGTTTTCCGCAGTCGCTGACGCTAGGATCTCCAGCAGCTCGTTGTCTCCCGTCCACTCCAGTGCTTCTTGGGTCATTGTAGGAAGACTTGAAACCCAAGTCTTGTCTTTGCCCTGTAGATCAATAATCCGTTTGATCTTCGAGTCCGCCAGCGACACAAGGGCATCGATTGCGTAGTAGTCGCCGATGCAGTTGACATGAACGTGATGAATGAGGGACGCGGCAGTGGCGGCTGTCGGCAGCGACGGCTCAAATTGAGCAAACGAGTCGGGATTTTTCCCATTTGGCGAAGCATTAGTTACTGTGCTGTCAGTCTCCGAAGCCCTAATTGTCGGAATAATCCATATACCTTTTCCATGACTACCATGCCTGTCTGCAGCACCGTCTGGCATAGGAGCTTCATGCAGATGCTCGGAGGCGTCGTAATCGCCAGAGTACATAAACTTTACCAGCTGCTTGACGGTTTCGGTATGGAACTTGTCCATGTTGATGACGTATTTGTGTGATTCCTGCATTTCCAAGTCAGTCAAAGGATCGAAATAGCTTTGAGCTCCGAGCACAGCAAACACACCTCAAAGCCCCCTTGGACGGCAGCTTTTATGACCGGCGACTGGGCGCAGACAATAGCCTTGTGGACTTTGAAGTCCTTCCCTTTGCAAGTAAACTTCAGATCACTGAAGTCGCCCGACAGCATCATACGGGTCAGAGCTGGAGTGAGGTTCTCGGCCGCCATCGCGAAAAGCTGTTTCTGACGCTCTCAATTCAGGGAAACGCGGATTCGGAGAAGAGCTGTGCGAATTGCGTCTGGGTACTGGAGTGGACACTGCACGTTGTGGTTGCAGCTGCTGGATCGATGTCGGGTCAAAGAGCGTGACTGACCGGGCTCGACTGGGACGGGTGGTAAGAAAAAGGGGAGAGGGGGTAAAATTGAGGATCAACACGAAGTTGATTCAAGTACCCGAAGGGATGCAGTGAATTCCGTGGCGAGATTCTTGCTGCAGCTATCATTGCGGAGTGAATGTCGCAGCAACTCGGCACCCTGTAACAGCCATCTAGCGGCTATAGTCACCAGTACTGAATCCACAATCCCATTCATAGTATTTTTGCTCAAACGGAGCCTTTGCAGCATCAACAGGGGGTAATTTCGTTTCACTGACCCGGAAAGGTCACACAACGTAAACGATTCGCCCCTCCTCAACAATGCCCTCATTCCGCGTGTTTCTGAGGCGGTCCGTTTGTTTGATAACGACTGCTTTCCGGAAGCATCGGTTTGAATCCCAGGTGGAACGGCATCTTGACTACCACCGGCAGCCGAGAGGCACAACGACAAGAATGGCTGTTGAATGCTGACCAGCAAAGCATTGCTATGACCATGGCACGATAGTGCTGTATCTTCAGCCAGATGCAGTTGAGAGGCATCAGCACCAAAAACAACAGCGGATTGCAAGTATGACTGAATTCAATTGTGCCATTAAACTTATTTTCCTTTCTTACCAACGCCAAGCAGAGTGACTGTAGAACTTTGGAAGAGGGGCCAAGACAAAAGAACACGGTTGAAGGCAAAGTAAACGCGCATGAAGTGTGTGCTGATTTCTTGTGTTTGCATCTTTTATGCTCCAAACAATCTCAACCCCTTTTCCATGCTCTTTCACCCTAAGACCTGTCCATGTGTAGATGTTCGTTTCGTTTCGCTCGCTTGCTCGCTTGGTACGAAGACGTGACTGATAATCCCGGTGTGTAAAAACGAATTAGCATGCTTCCAAAACGTGAAAAGCGGTAAAAGAGAAAGAAAAAGAAGAAGGCACGCCTATTTGCACTCATATTGCCTTTTACGCGCGTTCATCTCCAACTCGAAACAACAGACGAGCAAGCCCGCCTGTGCTTCGTGAGTTTTCCCCCGTAGGGGTCCCATGGATCGATGCAGAAATGGTTTTTAATCATTGTGCATGCATGCTTTGAGAAGGAGACAGTGGACTTACCAAATAACCTGGAGATGGCATTGAGCCGTGGAAATCCGATCACTAGCGAAGTAAGCAAGAACCGAAGAGTAGGAAAAAGAAGACGAAAAACAAGAGCAGTCCTGTTTTCCCTCAGATGTTCTTTTCATGGATTGCTCCTGTCATGCCCGCTCAAACTCCGGGCGGGCAAGGCCCGCCCAGGTTTGTGAGCTCTCCCAAAAGGGATGCTTTCGGATACAGAGCAGAGTGTTCATCATCATTGGGAGACATGCCGTCAAAGAGACCAAGAAACTTACCAAATAGTCTGGAGATGGCGCCAATGACACCGAGGGATCCTGTGCATGTAATCAACGATGTTAGCAAAGTTTTCAACCCCAAAGAGAAAGCAGAGGAAGACAAAGACATGAGCAGTTCTGTTTGAACTCATAGCATAGCGTTTTTCACTCATCTCGAGCTCGAAACGCGAGGTGACCAGGAAAGCCCAACCCGCCTGCGCTTCATTGAGCTCTCCCCAAAGGGGAACGGATCGGATACAGAGAAGATTTTGGTAATAATCATTTGCAGAAGTGCCTTGTGCGAGAAACCAAGAGAGAATTGACTTTCCAAATGTTCTGGAGATGAAGGCAATCCCACCACCGCGGGAGGAAGCATGCTAAGGCATCAGGAGTGCTGAGAGAAAAAAGCTTGCAAGTTTGCAAAAAAGGTTCCAAAAATTGAGTGTGTATCAGGCTTCAGTGTCTCTGCCCCTCAGCAACAGCCTCATCGGGGTCTGGACAGCTGAAGTCATCATGTACTTGTATGGTCTCGGACATGCTTGAGCGTCCTTGACCTCGATGTGGTCGAAGAAGATGGGACTTGGTCCCCCGAAGGATCGTGTGAGCTCGAGAAAAGGCGTAGTGTCGGTCGTGTGGTTATTCAATCGATCCGCCGCGTCGTGGGAGGGAGGATGAATCGACACCTGTGGCATTGTCAGCAGATGAACAAAAACTCAAAGAACCAGGAGCGATGAGTTATTGAATTCAGTCAATCACGAGGCGACTGGAAGTTGTCATGGTCGATCGGTCGTGTGGTTGGAAAAGTGGTTATTCAATCGATCGATCGGCCGCGTCGGGGAGGGAGGTGAAGTACATCTGTTGACACCTATGGCATGGTCGGCATATGGACAACTCAGAGAAGCAGGAGGGGGTTTTTATTGAAGTCAATCAGTCGCGAGGAGACTGAAGGTTGTAAAAGTCGATTGTTTGTGTGGTTGGAAAGTGGTTATTCAATCGATCGATCGGCCGGCCGTGTCGTGCGGAAGGAAGGAGATCCGTTGAACCTGTTGCATGGTTAGCAAACGAACGACTCAAAGTTTCAAGGGGAGTGAGGGGAATGGTTATTGAAGTCAATCAGTCGCGAGAAGACTGGAACTTGTCGGTCATGTTGCCGGAGAAGTGGTTATTCGGTCGATCGGCCGCGTCGTGGGAAAGGCGAGATGGAGTCAATCTGTTGAATCCTGTGACGTGGTTAGCAAATGAACACCTCAAATTTCAAAGGGATCGAGGAAATAGTTATTGAGTCAATCTGTCGGGAGAAGAAGTCGTCGTGGAAACCGGTTGCGTTGCGAGGAGACTCGTGCGAATCGATCGGTTGCGTTGAGGGGAAGCCACAGGTTAGCATCAGAGTTCCAGAGAAAGAAGGGCAAAAATAAAGAAGAAGGAAGTGAGAGGAACAAACTTACCGTTGAGCTTCCGCCCATCTCGCCTCTTGCCGCAAGGAGAATCGAAGGATTTGGGGAGGCTCACGGTTAGTATGATCAGAGCTCAAAGACGGAAGTGGCAGGAAAGCTTACCGTCGACCATTGAGCCACCCTCACGCCCCAAAAGGAGTCGATGTAGGGAAGTAAACGGTTAGTATGATCAGAGCTCAAAGGCTGAAGAGGCGGGAAAGCGTACCGTTGAGTATTGAGCCATCAATGCCCGGCAAAGACAAGAGCAGCAAAATCAGAGCTCAAAGACGAGACATAGAGGCGAGCGTACCTATAACCATTCACCCGCTTCACAAAAATGAGTCGGCCGATGAAGGGATGAGCGCGGTTAGTATGATCAGAGCTCAAAAGCCGAAGAGATGGGGAAGCGTACCGTTGAGTGTTGAGCCTTGAGCCATCGATGCCTCGCAAAGAAGAAGAGCACGATCAGAGCTCAGAGACTATAGAGAGAGGGTAGAGCGTACCGTTGACCTTTCATCCGCTTCACAAAAAAGAGTCGGCCGATGAAGAGATGTGCGCGGTTAGTATGATCAGAGCTCAAAAATCAAGAGATGGGAGCCAGCGTACCGTTGACCATAGAGCTGTCGATGGCTCGCAAAGAGGAGAAGATCATGGTCAGCATGATCAGAGCCCAGGGATCAAGAGATGCGGGAAAGCGTACCGTTGGCTGTCGAACAATCGCCGCTGGCTCGCAAAGAGGTCGACAAAATGTGGGGAGAAACGCGGTTAGTATGATCAGAGCCCAAAGAATCAGGAGATGGGGGCCAGCGTACCGTTGACTTTTCAGTCACAATCGCCTCGTGTTCCGGAAAAATAGTCGAGCAGATCAGGGATAAGACGCGGTTAGTATGATCAGAGCTCAACGAATACAGGAGGAGGGGAAAGCGTACCGTCAAGTTTACGGCCACAACCGCCTCCAGGAGCGAGAAACAGACAGGTTAACATCAGAGCAGAAGAGAAAGCAGAAGCAGAAAAGAAAACGTACCGTTGACCTCTCGGTCGGCCTAAGCTCTCGCCTTGAAGACAAGTGAGTTGCATGTTGTCAAAGTCGCTCGGTCGTCAAAGACACACCTTTGCCCTCCCCGTCACCCCCGCCTCTCGCCTTGGAGAAGAGCGAATTGTAAATGTTGGAGTCGGTCGGTCGGAGTCGGTCGGTCGAGGTCGTGGTCTTGGAAGCGTCGAGTCAAAGTCGGTTTGGCATTGTGGAAAAAACGAGGTTAGTAATTGAACCAGACAACCAGAAGGAATGAAGGAAGGACTCACCGCTGGCTTTTTAGTCAATCTGACTTGTCGCTCTGGACAGTGTCGAGTTGTTGTCAAAGTCGATTGATGTCGGTCGCGTTATGACGAAAGTCGAGTCGAAGTCAACGAGCGAGCAGTTGGAGAAGAGACAGATTAGCATCAGAGAACAAGAACTGGGAACTGGGGAGCACTCACCGCTGGCTTTCCAGCCACCATCGCTTCTGACCTGATGTGTTGTTATCGAGATCGATCGTTCGTGCTGGGAGAGACCGGCCTGTGGGAAAAGAAAAAAGTCATCCAAGTTCTCGAGTTCATGATGAGAGAGAGACAGAAACTTGCCTTGACCAACCACCCGCCCGCTCAGGGATATTGGACTCAAAAAAAAAGAGTCAAATGTTAGCCGCCCACCCACCCGCTCCGAGGAGCATTGGATCTGTGAGAGAAGTCAGCATCTGTCCTGAAAAAGGGGGGAGGGGCTTACAGATTCCCGCCCGCCCGCTCCTTGAAGCCATGGACTCAAAAAAAAAGAGTCAAGTGTTAGCCGCCCACCCACCCGCTCCGAGGAGCATTGGATCTGTGGGAGAAGTCAGCATATGTTATGCTCAAAGGGGAGGACTCACAATTGCCCGCCCGCCCGCTCCTTGAAGCCATAGAACCTGTGAGAAAAGTCAGCGTCTGTTTTGCTCAAAGAGGGAGACTCACATTTGGCCGCCCGCCCACCCGCTAAGAGCATGAACCTGTGAGAAGAGGGAAGTCAGCATCTGTCTTGCAAAAGGGGAGGGACTC